AGGCCGAAGGCGGGCACTTAAACGACTGAGCCATCCAGGCACCCCAATGTGTGGTTTTCATTCAGAATTTATTTCTGGTTACTTTTAGAATCATCGTTTTTTTTCATCCTTTCCTGTTCTTTTATGATGTTCATTCCTTCCTTTATCTGTTTGAACAACTGTAATGTACTTTATTTTTTTCTTAAGAGAACCATGTAAGTATGTATATATTTGCCAGTGGTAGAGAACATGAGGTTTCCACATCTTTGGCCAATATACTTACTTTAAAATCGCTTTCAGATTATTCCATTTCCAGGGGTGCCTGGCAGTTTCAGTGGGTAGAGCATAGGACTCTTGATCTTGGGGTCCTGAGTTCGAGCTCCATGTTGGGCTAGAAATGGCTTTTAAAAAACTACTCCATTTCTAGTTTATTGAGGACCAGTTGTCCCCATTTTTTTTGCATCTGCTGACTGCTACACATCAGTCTGTGTTTGGTCTGCTTTGTAATCTTTCACAGTGAGCTCACCCAGGGCAGGGTGAGCAGGGCATGTTTTCTGTAGGAGTCTTGGGTGATCCCTAGACTGTGGAAGTGTCCTTAATGCACAGTTTTCTATTGATCATCTTTTCCTTTTTTTTTAACTAATTTTTTTTTTTTTAAGATTTTATTTGATGGAGAGAGAGCGAGAGCATGAGCATGAGCAAGGGGAGCAGCAGAGGGAGAGGGAGAAGTAGGCTCCCCACAGAGCAGGGAGTTGGATGTAGGGCTCAATCCCAGGACCCCGGGATCATGACCTGAGCTGAAGGCAGATGCTTCACCGACTGAGCCACCCAGGCGCCCCTAAACTAATTTATTTAGAAATAACCACGTTTGCTACATATTAAGCTGTCATGTGTACTTTGGTCTAGTTCTGTTTAATTTTTCTGTAGCAGACTATTTTAATTGCTGTAACTTTAAGATATTTTGATACGTGGTAGGGCAAATTACTCCCCTCTATATTTGCTTATCAGAAATTTTATGGGGACTTTTCCCTTTAAGCATATATTCTTTCAGTTCCAGTTTTAAGATTGTTTAAATCTTATTTGCCTCTTCCTTCCCCAACAAAACCTTATTTAGATTGTAGATTAATTTGTAGATTATTAGTAGCTTTAAAAAGGTTTGTGTTTACAAATTTTAGTTAAACTTACTCCAGAATATTTTTTATTGTTACAGTCAAGAAAAGATTTTTTTTATCACTTGTATGTTTCTAAGTAACAGTTATTTTTAAGAAGGTTACATTTCAGAAAAAGACCTGAGGTGAGAGGAATAACCATGGAAAGGCCCATGATCTGGAATTTTGCCTGGCATATTGAGGAAATAGCAATGGTAGTAGAGTGAGCAAGGAGAGAAGCAGGAAGTAAAAGGAAATGAGGTCAGAGAAGGGATAGCAGTGACAGATGGTATAAAGCCTTGTGTGCACCATTTGCAAGAACTTTGGCTCTTGTTCCTTATGAGATGAGGAGCCATTGGAATGTTATGAGCTGAGGACTGGTAAGCCACGGTTACACCTACTACTGTATTTTGATTAGTTGGAAGGAGGGGTAAGCAGGAAGACAAGTGAGGAGTTATTTAATAAATTCATATGAGAGGGGTGCCTGGGTGGCTCAGTCAGTTAAGCCCCCGACTCTTGATTTCAGCTGAGGTCATGAGACCAAGCCGCACATCGGACTCTGCTGGGTGTGGAGCCTGCTTAAGATTCTCCCTCCCTACCACCCCCCTTTTAAGTCAGAAAAGATACTGACTTAGACCAGGGTTATTGCAGTTGAGGTGGTATAAAGTGGTCAGATTCTGGATCCATTAAGAAGGTAGAGGCCACAGGATTTCATGATTGGATATGGGGTATGGTAAAAGAAGGGAGTTTAGGATGAGTTCAGAGATTTAGGACTGAGCAGCTAGAAATTGGGAAGAGCAGGGGCTCAGTTTTGAACTGAGGTACCTGTCAAGACATCTAAGTGAAGTTGAGTGAGCAGTTAAATTCAAATGAAATTATATTAATTGATATACTAATATCGACTAATCCTGATATCCAGAAATCTCCACTTGGCTCAGGTTTGGTTGTTTATATTTGTTATTTTTAAAATTTATTTTCTTACTATAAAATATATGTTGTGATTTTTTAAAACACAAATAGGTTCTGGGGCGCCTGGGTGGCTCAGTCAGTTAGGCATCTGCCTTCGGCTCAGGTCATGATCCTGGGGTCCTGGGATTGAGCCCTGTGTCAGGCTCCCTGCTCAGTGGAGAGTCTGCCTCTCCCTCTGCCCCTCCCACAACTTGTACACATTTTCTCTCTCTCTCTCTCTCAAATAAAATCTTTTTTAAAAAGAATTTTATTTTTCTGAAAGGACAATAGAATTATAATTTCTTTATGTTAGTATCAGCCATCTTAATAGAAAATTACCTCTTCTTTAATGCTTTTACTTTTACTTATTTATTTTTAAAGATTTTATTTGTCAGAGAGAAAGAGAGCACAAGCAGGGGGAGTGGCAGGCAGAGGGAGAAGCAGGCTCCCCGCTGAGCAAGGAGCCTGATGTAAGACTCGGTCCCAGGACCCTGGGATCATGACTTGAGCTGAAGGCAGAGGCTTAACCGACTGAACCACCCAGGTGTCCCTCTTTAATGTTTTTAAAGATTTGACCAGGGAAATAGACTTGTCTGAGCCTCTACCTTATTTTATGCATCTAATAAGGTATTCCCTTATTAGATGGAATACAAAAATATGTAACATTTAAACATCACAGAAATGCATAATTTGTATACACATATTACATATGTACACACAGTTTCCAGTTTTTAACTTAACTAGTGCTTTTTTGAGGAATTCTTATATGTTTGCATTTCTTCCTTTTTCTCTTCATTAAGCCAGTTTTAAAGTTTATCTGATTATTAATTGGTCTGTTCCTGTCCACCCCACCCTTGAGATGGGTTTAGGAAGAAGGAAAAGGAAAACTCCCAAAGAACAGCTCTTAAATTTGCTATTTCTGGCATCTATTTCCTCTTTTGGCAATTTTAGCTTTTATCTTAATCTCTTCCTTTAATTTGTTATTTTTGCCATATTCTTTTTCCTCTATACCCAGTCTATTGGCTGTTGACTTAAGGGTATACTGCAGCCATAAAACGGAATGTTCATTTTTCATATAGACAGGTAATTGATGCCGTTGGTTAGTTTATGAGGAAAAACATATCTCTATCTTAAGATTGATTGTTTTGATTTTGGTTATCTTTTTCTAATCTTTAATGTTTTAAGTTTTGGTGCAATTTCTGGATCCTACCTAATTACCTGACTCCTCCCATTCATCTGCTGTGTGGTCTGTGGTTCTCATCTCTGCCAGCAGCTCTCTCTCAGCTCTGTCTCAAAATGTTATCTCTTTCAGAAAGCCAGCGCTGATAAACAGAGTGCAAGGGATATTTTTTCCCAAAACAGTACCAGTTAATGTCTACACGGTAGCATCATGTTTAGTTGATATAATTCCCTTTCAGTGGCATCTACAATTGCAGCTTATTAAAATTCTTTTTACTTTAGTGCGAGGTGCCCAGTCTAACCTTCACAGGAGCTTCTTTGCATGCCACCCATCTATGTGGTTGCATGAAGGAGGCAGTTGGGGAATGTTGATAAAGACCATGTTGTTCTTATATTAATCTTTCTCCTGTACATGTGTGTAAAGGCAAACAGTTTTCAAGAGAGGTTTGTGCTGAAACCGAATGCCGCTCTTGGAGTTGTTGTAGGCTTTTCGCTAGCAGAGTTTCCATGCTGCCCTTTTGTTTTTATTATGATACTACCCTTGCTCAGAGCATCTCTTCTCATGGTGCTGTTCCATAGGCAAGTCCTTTTCTTCTAGGACTGGATGCTGCCCAAATGACTTTCTAATGGGTTATGATTTGGCACATGCCAGATTTGTCCATCTTAACACTAGAGTCTAGGAATCCTGCATTCAGCATGACCTCTGAAGTTTTCTCCCCAAAGCATAAAATTGTTTATAAAAAAAACAAACAAAACTTTTTTTTTTTAAGCATTTTTTTCCCGCCAATATTGTCTTTCAAAGAGTTAGATTACATTTCACTGTGGACTTAGCAGGAGAGGTTATTTCTTAGCCTGCTTACATGTGTACAAAGGAAGTTTAATGGGAATAATTTCTACCTCCTTGAATTTAATCTAACATAAAGACTATGGTGTGAACACTCACCATTACCAAATTGCCTTTTTTTAGCTTGCATTTATTATTTATTTATTTATTTATTTGAGAGCGAGCCAGCATGAGCAGGAGGGGGAGAGGGAGAAGCAGACTCCCCGCTGAGCAGGGAGCCTGAGGCGGGACTCCATCCCAGGACCTCGAGAGATCACAACCTGAGCCTAAGGCAGACACACTTAACCGACTGAGCCACCCAGGCACTCCCAAATTTATTTTCATTAGTTAGGCATGAACTTTATAACCATGGATCTTAGGCTAGGTTAAAATGTAGCTAATGAGTTCTGTGTAGTCCAGCGAAATTTGCCACCTTGTTTGAGACCACCTGAAAGTCTTTAGAAGGAGGTGTGAAAAGAAGAAAGAGAGGTGTGATTGGTTATTCAGGCTCCTAGGTGGATGAAATTGCTGGAGAGAGCAAGTCATGTCAATCTGAGAATCAGGTGCCAGCTGTTCATCTCAGGGACCATTGAAAACCATCAAGATGGTGGAAACATTCAGGTTTTATAAGGTGTTCTCAGCACAGTTTCAGTAGCTTTAAACTCACAAGTTTGGTACCTAGGTAAGTGTTTAGGGCCCAGCTCCAAGTAACTGGATTTCATCATTGAAGAAGAAGCAAATTTACTTAATTACTTTGAAGGTTAGTGTGTTGGAGAAAAGGGAATTTTTTAACAAACTAATTGAACTTTCGGTTAGTAGTGGCATATAGGTGTCTAGAAAGAGTCTTCTGAATCTTTGGGATAATGAGAGAGAGCTGGGTTTTATCAGACACTGAATTGTCAGTTTTGTTTGGCTTTTCACAGGTTCATCGGAACAGCACAATGCGCTCTGGCTGTGATGTGAACCCCTCCTGCGCACTGTGTGGCTCGGGCAGCACTGTCACCATGCCTCCAGAAATTCACTATGAAGCCCCTCTGTTGGAACGCCTTTCCCAGTTGGACTCTTGTGTTCACCCAGTCCTAGCATTTCCAGATGGTAAGAAAGGCCACAGAATATAAAGCTTAAATGAGACTTAAAGGCTTCAAAGTGAAAGAAAACCAGCCAGGATCCTGGTACAACCCAGGTGCTATCAAGGTATCAGTTTCAGTCAACAGAGTCTCTCAGAATTTTGCAAATAGGGTGCAGCAGATCCACCAGACCAGAATGTGCCACTGAAAGATTGCAACTTGCCAGGAGAGAGATTTCCCCCCAGCCTTTCAAGTTGCTCCTGGCCCTGAAATAAAACCCTGCCTAGCTTTGCTATCCATATGGTCCAAGTTTTCTACTAAATATTTCCACTTTTCCTAGAAGTCACATGGCAGCAGGAATATTAGATCAAGCTCCTTCTTAGTCAAGGGAGTTCTGGTAACAGGTCCTGGAGCAGTTACAGGATTTAGGTAGGCAAAAAAGAACTCAAATCATTTGAAGAACAGATAAAGGGGAGGGGATTTTAGTAATTTAATGTTTGATCAACTGTCAAACAGAAGAGGGCATTCTCTAGGATAGGTGTTAGTAATGATTGTTTTTTATAAATAAGATTTTATTGGAATAACAGCCATGCCCATTTGTGTACATCTTGTCAGTGGCTGCTTTTCTGCTAGATTGGCAGTAACATTACATAGTTGCAACCCAGACTAAACATAGATAGTGTGGCCTGCAAAGCCCGAATTATTTATCATCTGTCCCTTTAAGAAAAAGTTTATAAACTTTTGGACCATATGGATAGCAAGCTAGGCAGGGTTCTATTTCAGGTTGGGAGTGGTAGAGCAGTAAATAAACTTTAGAATACATCTTCCTTTGTACTTCAGATTCCGGGTTTCATTGGCTTTTACCTTCTCTTGCCATTTGGATTACAGCTTATATAACTTAAGGTTTTATTTGTATAGCATTTTATGGTTTACAAAGCACCTTTCTTATTTGCTTCTCTCAGTAATCTCATAAGGTGTTAACTTCAGTTTGGTAGATCAAGAAAAGGCTTAGAAAAGTTGTGCTTTATCTCAGGCTAAATGGCTGATGAGTTTTAGATAGCTCTGGAATTCAAATTTGGGTCATCTAATGCCTGTCCTTCATTTCACTATATAATATGCTTCTTCCCAGCCAGATTATTAAGGGAAACCAGTTTTCTACCCATTTCTAGACTCTGACTGCAGGTGGAGCCACCAGGAAAACTGAGGAACGTTTCTTCGGTTACTCTCGCAGGATCACAGTGTTGAATTGTATAGTCTTGGATTTGAATGAAGAAGCCTGAAGCCTGTAGTTATATTCTGATTCTGTTAAGGCCTCTTCCATACTCATTGAATGTCAGCTTATAAGCATGGTGATATTTCTTTGTCAATAGCGTTACCGTATACAGTTGTGAATTGCCTTCCCCCTCCCCCAATCACATATGCTCAGACTGTTTGCCTCACAGACTGGTGCCCTTAAACTTCCCTACTCAATCCCTTTTCAAGCAACTATAGGTAGTAGCATTGAGGGAGAAAGGAAGGAAAGATGTGGAGACTCCTTTCTCTGGTCATTAGCACTTTCACTTTCCTGCCTGCCCTTAAATACCTTTCCTCTCTCTCTCTCTCTGTCTCACACAGCTCCTGACCATGATACTGGGGTTTGGAGAAGAGAGTTGGTCATTAAATCTCCTTATAAGATTGTAAAGGAGAATATATATATATTATTTTTTCATGTAGGATGTATGAACATAATTGCCTATGGATAAATCAGACTTTCTGTTGGTTGACCCGGGGGACACAGTTACCATATCTAATACTGTTCCTGTTGGGATAATTTTGCTTTGATCCAGACAAATACCACATTCAGAATGTTTGTAAACTGTAAGATTTTCACAAAGATGTCCAACTCCAGAGGGCACCATTATTCTGTGTGAATAGCACTCCCTCTAAGTATTGAGATTTCCCATGTATCATTGTGTAGAATAGTAAGTAACAGTGAAGACTAGTGGCCAGCATGTGGGTCAAACATACACGCACCAGACCTGACCTCTGGGCCACCCTTTTACAGCCTGTTCTCTAGAAGATGCTTAGAGATGGCAGGATTTTCAAGTAGTTTTACTAATGTACCCTAATCAGTTTGTTTGTGGGTAGGATGGGAACCAACTGCAACTCTTAATCCTAGAGTTCTTTCTCCCCTGTTGACCACATTTCAGCCATTCGCATTAAGCGTGTCTAGAGATGATAGAATTTGAGGAGCTTGGTGCCTGGTGACAAAGTGGAGGCATTAGGGTGTGATAACTCTTTAGTACTCCTAGGAGGGGGAACTCGTTTCCTTATCAAGCCAAGTTAATCCTTAGCTTGGAAATGTAGAAGTCTAAAACCTTGGTGGAAGGAATGTTAACTTGAGTTTGAGCTTCATAAGAGCACCACCTGCTGGCCTTGAAGATCTATGCTGTTTTGAGAGAGCTTACCAAGACGGGTGTATGTGAGGCTACCACAGTTTACCAGCAGGAGGAGGAAGTGAGTATTTATAAAAACAACCCTAGAAAATTTGCTTGAGAAAATGGTGGAACATAATGAGCAGAACAGTCAAGTGCAACGTGGAATGTCAGACCCCAGTGAGCGTGAAGTCAAGGTCTTTTCATTTTGTCTGAGGAAATAGTAACTTAAAATGATGTTAGTTTCCTTCTATTTCCTATTTCCTGTTTTAACACTTCTGTTTTCCTGTTATTGACCTGATCAAGCATCTGCTCCTTCTTCTCTGATGATGGCACTTTAACGGCATGGCCTGTGCGGGTATGGAATGTGTGAAGTCTTCTGGCTGAATGGGTCCCTGTTGTATTCTTTTTCATACCCTTTCATTGCTTACTTTCAGGTCCTGCATATCTAATCTGTTTCAGAGCTTTAGTGCAACATGGATCTCAGGTGTTATTACTTACCACTTAGAGCATGAACTTAGACCAGCAATTCCTCAGAGATCATTTTTGTTCATTGACTGGGGGATTTAACTGACTTCCTGTTCATTCTTACATGAGAGGAGTTAAACACACAGCAGACTTCTAGCAAAGTATAGCAGCCTGAGTTCTTTCAGCAGTTTGTTATTATCCCTAACTGCTTATTCAGTGGGTTTATAGGGGAAATTGCTCTTGATTCTGCTTAATACGTCAACTCCAGGGCACAGGGTGGTAGTCTCCAATTGTAGCAGCTTCTACTTCAGAGTGTTCAGGTGAGGGGAGGAGATTAGGTATGGTCCTAGAGTCTGATGTAATGTGTTAAGAATGGAGAGACTCGGCAGTCAGTCTAGTCTAGGAGTAACAAATAGTGTCCTCTCTTGTGCTTAACTCAAATTGATTGATAGTGGCTTTCTGGACTCTGTAATTTTTAAAGATGAATCTGAGATCTTGGGGTACAATAGGGTAAAGAGTGTTAAGATTTTTTCGTTTTTGTCTGCAGCAGAGGAAGGGAGAGCTAGAGCATGTGTACTGGGATGTACCTGCCTAGCTAAGTGGTTTGTTCTTGTTTTCGCCTTCTACTCAGTGAAGGAATTAGGACCTGAATCCAGGCCTACTTATTTCTAGTCTGGTGCTGTTTCCATTATAAATCAGATCGCGTATATTCCTCCCTACCTCCTTTTTTTCCTGGCTTAATTTTCAGGTTTGGGAGAGCAATGACTGGGGAAAGTACAAGGAAAAAAATGAAATCACTAGGCTTCTGTTGTCCCATTATATAGACCTTGCCAATTCTTCTGTTGACAAGAGGTGTCCTGGGATATAGAGGAGTTGTTTTCCCCTTTCTGGGGCCTTTAGACATTCCAGCTTAGCCCAGCTTTCAGAGTGCCTCCAGACGGTGCTTTATTTCCTACACACCCTTTTCCCTAACCATTTTGAATTGCAGCAAAAAATATTTACCGTTAATAACCTCAACTCAATTCTTGATTGTTTATTAATGGGAAATCCTTTTTTTAAACATTTGACCTTCGTTGGGAGGGTGGGGGGAATCAAACCCATTTTATTGAGGGGCTTGGAGAAGTGGTAGGGCTGGGAACACCATGAGATCCAACATCCTTGGTCTGGTTGGTATCTCCCCACCTTTGAGGTTGCTGAAAGCTGACGTTTATCTTTGAAGGTTGGGATAGGTGAATTTGTTTTTAAGTGTGGAAAAGAAAGAATGATTATGCAAAAACATTTCAGAAGACAGCACTGTCCTCACATACTGTATCTCAGTACTTGGGACATACAGCAAATGTTTATCTTTAAAACTTGAGGAATTTTACTAATTTGTTTGACTGCCATAAGGTCCAGTGGTCTGTTCTCAGAACTGGAAAATAATGTCTGGCGCTGAGGCTGCTTGCCCATTGGGGAAAAGCATCCCTAAGAACAGAACTATTTTATTCATTCAGGGATATATATGTTCATTCCAGACCTGAGAAGCCCAGTGTTCAAATTTGTTCTTAAAGTGTCTTGAGATCCATGGTATATACTACAGGAAAGAGAACTCCCTTGAAAAATATCCTGTACTCTACTTCTTTGCCAATAATTTGAGAAATCTCACATTCCACCTCAGAATTAAACCTCTCCGTTCTCTGGACCAAAGAATAATTTCACGGTGTAGTGGCTGAGAGTGTGGGCTCTAGGGTTCTACAAACCTAAGTTTGAATGTTGGTTGACTTACTAAACTGTGTATAACCTCAAACAGCTAATTTACCTCTCTGAACCTGTTTTGTCTTTTTAAAAAGGAGCATAATGATGCTTACATCAAAATGAAATACATAGTTTAAGTCAATTGTCAAGTATAAGACCTGTAAAATGAAACCTGTCAAACACTGCTGAGAGAAAATTTAAGAAAACCTAAATAAATAGATATACCACATTGGTGGATTGAGAGACTTGGTGTTGATGGCAGAACAGAAGGCATTTCTCCCCAGATTGACCTGTAGAGTCAGTGTAATACACGACAAGCTTTTTTGTATTTGAGTTTTTTGCAAAAGCTTAAAAGAAGAAAAAAACCACCTACAATTAAGGAAGAATCCACTTCCATTTTATCTGCAGCACTGAATGTTAGAATAGAGAGACAGCTTTTAAGGTCAGAGAAAAATGATTTCAGCCTGGAAATACTTTTTCTAAAGAAATTACTCAAGGACACATTCTCAGGAAAATAAAAAAATGGAAGTAAGAAAATGGAAAGATCCAAGAAATGGTAAAGCAAAGTAGATAAAAATTATAGTTTAAAAGATTAATTTTTGATGTCGAATATTAACTAATCAGCAAAAAAATCTCCAGGTGGGAGGGTGAGGAGCTAGAAAGGAAGGGGGGAGTAATACTCAGTAGACAATAAGTATTTATTGAATGAATGTATCCTGATTAACTGTTAATAGTATTAGGTTTAAATGTTTTAGTCTCTAGAAGAATAGAAGTAGGATGTTCATCAATCTTTTGAACCAATAAAGTTTAACAAACTTCGTAGACTACATGAACAAAGAAAACTCCATTGATCTACCAAAAGGTGTTTTTAGATGGCGTATTTGTTTAACTTGAACATGTTAAAAGTGACTTGCTTTTGTGAATAAAAGAATGCCTTCAGTAAAGTTCAGATAAGCAGATCTTGCACAGGACAGTGCTTGCCCTGCCGGGTCATCCTGCCGCTGGGCACATAAAAGAAGGGTGTGATGTAGATCCTTGCCCACTGGAGAGCCCGGGTTACCTGTGAACATACCTCCATTCTTGAGAGAGGAGCCCAGAGACCAGGTGTCTGGACTAACCTGCAGCGTTTCATCTTTCTTGCAGATGTTCCCACAAGCCTGCACTTCCAGAGCATGCTGAAATCTCAGTGGCAGAACAAGCCTTTTGACAAAATCAAACCTCCCAAAAAGTTTTCACTTAAGCACAGAGCACCCATGCCAGGCAGCCTGCCAGATCCAACTCGTAAAGACAGGCACAAGTTGGTCAACTCCTTCCTAACAACAGCCAGTAAGTTTTAGGGGACTTGGGAGTCGACCTCCGGTTATTTCTCTATTCCTTTTATATTCTCAAATTACTGTTTTGCTGTGGCAGTATCTTGGGGTTGGGAGAGGCAGTTGACTGATAACAGGTTCCGCTCACTGTCTACTTCTACTTGTCTCGGATGTTCTCAGATGGACTTTGAAAGCTCTTGCAGACACCATGCATCTCGGGGCAAGACCCACAGTGCTGGACGAACAGCTAACCGTGGCATGACATTGTTTCCATCTGTGGGCAGGCTGTCTTCTGTAGCCTGGAGTCAGATTTCTCTGGTTGAGGGCCCTGTGGGCTGTCTGGCCTGGCCTGGCCCTCTGTGCTGTCTGCTAGGAGCGTCAGTCCCAGAGGACTCTCCTGCCCTGGGTGTCTTTATCATTGGCCTAGAGAGAACTCAAGAGCTCGGAACTCAAATAAGAAAAGATTGAGAGAAGATTTCACAGCTCCTTTTCTGTTCCCCTCTTCAGAGCTGTCCCATCACCAAATCCGGCCTGACAGGACCCACAGGCAGCACTTAGACGATGTGGGGGCCGTGCCTATGGTAGAGCGAGTGACAGCGCCAAAAGCAGAGCGCTTGCTCAACCCGCCGCCACCTGTGCATGACCCAAACCCCAGCAAAATGAGATTGCGAGACCATTCATCTGAGAGAAGTGAAGGTAGGGCCAGGCCCGGCACCTCTGCCTGCATTTGCATCTGCTCAGGGCTTTCTGGGGCAGCCTGGGCTTCTCTTAATTGCCCCCAGCTTTGGGGTCCTTCACTTTCTAGCAAGGCAGAGTAGAGGGACCCTACTGCTTCTAAATGCAGGTCCCTTCTGAACTGCTGCAGCAACCTCCACCCAGGCCCCCCTACCTTCCATCAACCAGTCTGCTTCACCTTTTTATCCTCTGGGCTTAGAAAGCGCTTTGGCTCGTACTGTGTCGCTGGCATTTGTAGCTTGTGCTGGTGGCAGGGCCGGTGAGGTAGCCACGTATTCCTCTTTGTTGTTGACGCCTGCAGTGTTCAAGCATCACACAGACATGAGCAGTTCCGGCTACTTGGCGGCCGCCCAGCACGCCCCGCACAGCCCCTTGGTGCGACAGCTCTCCACCTCCTCAGACACCTCGGCGCCCACCGGCTCCAGCCCACAGGTTACAGCCAGTGTGTCTGTAAGTACCTGCGTGGGGTTGGCCGGACGGCCCCTTTGCAGTGACCGCTCCTCGGGTGGCTCTGGAGGACAGTGTAGGGAGTGGGATTTGAGACCCAGGGCGTTTGGGGGGGCTCGGCCCACCACGATGTGTCATCTTTAAGTCAGAGGGGTGGTATTTGACCTTCTGTTTTCCATGGTGGGAAGCTTGATGCTGAGACAGACCCTGAAGGTGGCCTGTGGACTATTCAAGATCTGTGGGGCTAGGTCTCACCCAGCACTCAGCAGTAGCATGGCTCTAATCCTGTTGGTTCCAGAAGTTCACCTGAGAGGAGCGGTAGAGGACCGGGACTTAGGAACATTGGAGGCATTCCATTTCCTTATTTTTACTCTCCCGGTGAGTGTAGCTGGAGCCCCGAGAACAGGCCCTGCCGTGAGGGGTCCTGGAAGGGAGGGAAGGCAGGGCCTCGCTCCATCCCCGAGAGCTGTTGGCACAGCCATTCCAGACATACATTTCCCGCTGGTTCCTTTCTCATACTTTAATTTCTCAGCGTGTGCCTCCTCAACATGTGTACCTAGAGATTGTTGGTGCCCACCGCCGGGCCCTTTCTATGGTGATTATGGTAATAATGGTAATAAAATAGTCTTCACTGTGTCTGTTCTGCCTGCTTTCCCCACGTTATCTCATTCAATCCTGATAATGCCCTTTGAAATGTAGATCAGTGATACTAAAGATTCTTAACTCTGTAGGTGGGGAAGCTGAGGCTTCCGCATGGTTAAGTAAACTGCTTAAAGGGTGTTGTCCTCAGCCCACTCCCACCTCTTTCCCCTGAAGGTACTAACAGCAGGCCCAAGAAGATTCAGGGAAAACACACACCTGTTTCTGCAAGCTTCACATTCATTCTTGACCAAGATGTAGGGAGAGCTCTCTCTTGAGGCTTCCATGAGGCACACTTCCGGTAGTGGGGTGTGTCCTGTCAGCGGAGATGGGACAGTGGCAGAGGCTTTGGGGTATGAGGTCACTAAGCCTGAGCTACAGAGCTCAGCCGGGCAAGATTTGCAGAATTCTCTTCGACCATTTTGGTTAACCAGTTACCCCAAATTTGTAAGGCAGAGGCCATCTGTTCTCATTTGATAGAGAAGGAAATGGAGGTGAAAAAGACACTGTGGTAGGCTGAGGTGAGAGGCGACAGCAGCTCAAGTCCTGGCCCAGGAAGCGCTGCCTGTCAGCGTTCTCAGAATGTCCTGGCGTGAGGGGTTGAATCAATCCCGTATCGCCCTCCAGGAACAGAGAGCAGGGTGGTTAGTTGTAGGGGACAGCATCTTCCCCATGGTGCTTCCCCAACCCCTTCCCTCTGAGCTGACCGCACTTGGGCCTTGGCCTTGAATTGCAGCCCCTGGGTGTCTCCAGCTGTGTTGCCTTGGCGGCAGCTGTGTCATCCCACTGTTGCCCTCTGGCGGCGCGCCCCCCCCCCCCCCCCCCCCGCCCAGCCCCAGTGTCTGTTTCAGGGTGGGCTGTTTGCTATCTGAGCCCAAGCAGCAGGTGGACTTTTCCTGTGGCATAGAAACTAACCAAGGCCTTCAGCTCCCTCCTGTATTCCTCCTCTGGCCTCTGAGCTGCTGTAGATGCTCACCTCCTCCTCTGTTACTGGACCCTTGTCAGTCTTCTTTCCTAAGAGTTTGATCTTCTCATCCTGTAGAAGCAAGTCTCCGTTCTCCAAGAGTCTGAGCTGTGTAGCCAGGTCCAGGTCCTCTTCCTCTGTTTCCCTCCACTCAGCTCCACTAGAACTAGAAAGCTCTCCACTCTTCCACAAGTATCTAATAGTCAAAAAGAGGGGAAATCCCGTAGGGCTGAGCAGATGGTGGGTACAGACTTAGCTGAAGAGTTCAAATCTGTAAGGAAGAGGTGCTTTCGTGATGTCCAAGGTTAGATGATCCATTGAGCTGGGCCTGTCCAAGATCTTTTCAGGATAAGGGAACTCCCCTTTCTAACCTGCAGAGTGCACTAGGCTTAGTGAAGCATTGGTTTAGGACCTACTAAGGGTCCGGGTGATAGAGATAGCGAGGGGAAGCAGAAAGGACAACTCTGAAGGAGGGGGTAGTTAGGGTGTGTGGGGGGAGTCAGAACCACAGCACCTGACTTGAGGCCCCAGGGTGCTCACCCCTGCAAAATTCGGTAGAAGTCTTCTTGCGAGTGAGCCCGTGAAGGAAGAGACTCGGGAGCGGGGGGGCCTCCTCGGGGCCACCTGGCGGCTCTCCTGAGGGGACATCCAAGTGGGAGACCTCGTCCCCAGTGCGGGTAGCGGGGCCCAAGGCCCAGGTGCCTGCGTGCTGGCCGTCCTGTCGTGTGTCTTGGGTGTAGGATCTGATGTTTGCAGAATTGCGCCTCCCTTTTCAACTCGCCTTTGTCTCACAGCAGCCAGTGAGGAGGAGGCGGGGAGAGAGCTCGTTCGACATCAACAACATCGTCATCCCGATGTCTGTTGCTGCCACAACTCGGGTCGAGAAACTGCAGTACAAGGAAATCCTCACGCCCAGGTCGAGGCCCTCACTAATCGGCTCTGCACCGCGTTCTTCCCGCTGCCGCCTTTTCCCCTCTTTGGTCCCCGAGCTTTGGGTCCTGGCCTTAGGTTTTGTCTTCTCTTTAAGAGAAATGCTTCCTGATAGAAGTGAAACTCTCTGTGTATCGTCCTCTCATTCCATTAAGAAGAGTACCAGCCAGACCTCCGGCCGCGTGCCGGCTGTAGCCATGTTTGTTTGACAGCACAGTGTGTTTGCAAATAGTGAGTTTGTTGTCCTCATCAAAACAGTATTTCACCTGTGAATCTTTATTTCCAGCTTTTGTTCACAACTTAGGAAATTGGGTAGATGGGTAGCAGTCCGCTGGTGTAAGCCGTTCCTTTGCCTGCGTTTGCCCCAGTCTCACAGCGGCTGCCCGTGTCTGTCCTGTGTGGGGCCTCTCTCAGAGGCCACCGGGGCTGCCAGGGCAGAGGGCAGGGCCGTCCACAGGCGCCCAGCGCTCACCCTTTCGCAGACACACCCTGCCCGGCGGCCCTGCTCTCTCACAATTGTCCCTTTTTGATTTTGCAGCTGGCGGGAGGTCGATCTTCAGTCTCTGAAGGGGAGTCCTGATGAGGAAAATGAGGAGGTAACAGCAGGGTCATTCTCTGCAGAGGGACATGCATGCACACATGTTGGGTACAGACACCCCAAGTGCCTCAAAAACCTGTGGGTGTCAGGTACAGGCTCACTGTGTTCCTGTCCTGATGGGAAAGAGCCTGGTGAGGGCTGGGGCTGGTTCTAGAATTACTCCAGCCCTACTTGGACTCGGCTTCCTGGAGGATGGGGGGCCAGTGAGGCTGGTCTCTTGCAGGTCGAGGACTTGTCCGACGCAGCCTTCGCCGCCCTTCATGCCAAATGTGAGGAGATGGAGAGGGCTCGGTGGCTGTGGACCACGAGTGTGCCACCCCAGCGGCGGGGCAGCAGGTGATGGGGCAGGCACAGGTCCCCTGGCCTGTGAAGGGAGGGTGGGCGGGGGGTCGGGCGCCGCGTCCGTGGGGTTGCCGCTGCCCCTCAGTCTCTGTGCATATCCATCTGCTGGTGAGGGTCGAGAATGCAGACATTCCCAGCCGTTCGTTGGAACGCATGAGGGTATGAGGGTCATGTGGCTGGATCCTTGCTGAGCAGTGGGGTCGCTGTCCAGTTGTGGCAAACTTGCATGGTCTTCTGGGCTCTGGGTCGCGGCTGTCTGTGGCATTAGGGGGCCAGTTGAAGGTTGTGGTGACTTAACTAGAGGAGCTTTGGAGGACTTACCACAGTTTAACCCTCCTTGGGACAGTGGAATATGGGGGGTTGTGGTCCTGCTTGAAAGAACTGGAAGCTAAGTAGATTTAGGGCTCTTGTTTTTGCTTTTTTCCCCCCTCAGAGTCTAGAGGAATTTCCCTTCCCTGTGAATTCACTGGGCACTGTGCCAGAGATTAGCCCCTAGTCGGCATTAGTCGGCATTGTTCCGCCGTGGCTTTTCTCGGGACGATAGGTGCACCCAGTTCTTAAGATGGTCGTATTGTGGGCCTGCCCCGGCACATAGCTGTGGGAGGGAACGAGGGGATTTACGGTTCCTGGGAAAGAACTGTTCATGTCCATCTACCTCAGCTCCTTTGGTTGGGATGTTCTTTTCATGCCTCCTCCCCAGCCCCCCAAAATCAACCTTCAAGTAATCCCCTGTTCCCCGGGGCACTCAGATTTGCACTCCTTGGTGTCCAGGTCTTACAGGTCATCAGATGGCCGGACAACTCCCCAGCTGGGCAGTGCCAACCCCTCCACCCCCCAGCCCGCCTCCCCTGATGTCAGCAGTAGCCACTCTTTGTCGGAGTTCTCCCACGGTCAGTCCCCGAGGAGCCCCATCAGCCCGGAACTGCACTCGGCGCCCCTCACCCCTGTGGCTCGGGATGCACTCCGACACCTAGCCAGTGAAGACACCCGTTGTTCCACACCGGAGCTGGGGCTGGATGAACAGGTGGGGGCTGCAGCCTCTGCATGGGGGTCGGCGGGTTTGGGGACGGAATGGGGAAGGGACCGTACCCGCTGAAGATGGGGCTGCATCTTATGCCTCCCCATCCCCATTTTAAAGGGGTTGCACTTAAAATTGACCTGAAGGGACCGTGGAACAGATCCCCACTCCAAGGGGTCTTCCTGGACCACTCCAGGAACTCTCAAGGGACTAGTCTTGGACTAGTTTTGGGGGCAGGGCCTTGGGGCAGGATGTAGGCCGGGACTGGCTCCTCACCGCAGCAGTTTGTCTCCCCCGCAGTCCGTCCAGCCTTGGGAACGGCGAACCTTCCCCTTGGCCTACAGCCCCCAGGCAGAGTGTGAGGACCAGCTGGATGCGCAGGAACGGGCAGCCCGCTGCACTCGGCGCACCTCAGGCAGCAAGACTGGCCGAGAGGCAGAGGTGGCCCCCACCTCACCTCCCGCTGTCCCCCTCAAGAGTCGGCATTTGGCGACAACGGTCACAGCTCAGCGTCCAACTCACAGATGAGCGGGAAACGAGAATCTAAACAGACTCACTAACTATTGGCATTAAAGCTTCAGAAATCTCTGCGTTTGATATTCAAACATCATATGCCGGAAATTTTCACAGTTTTTAGTGAATTTAAGGAATTTAGATTCTACTTTGGTATTTTGTTTTGTTTTGTTTTGATTTTTGTTTTGTTTTGGTTTTGGTTTCCATGTTTTGTTGTCACACACACCTGAGCACTTCCTCCAGTTGGCAAACAGAAGTTCAGGATAAGACCCTGCTGGCCTGGTCCTGGCACGTCCTCTGCACTGTTGAATCACTGGACTTAGCGATGTTAGATGACCCCCCCTCTCCTCGCACCCGTGGGCAGGGTGGACTGGCCACATGGGCCCAGGGAGTGGAAAGCTCCAGCTCAGCGTGACCGCCCTGGGTTCGCATGGGGGAGAACAGTGTGCTCTGGGCTCCTCCTCGCCCCTCCGCTCCCGTCGCTGGCTGGGTCCCCCTTGGCCATCTGTGCCAGAGCACCCCCGCCGGAGCCTCTTGGCCATAACTGCCGCCTGTTCTCACTGAGCTCTCGGTTGACAGAATGGCTTCCCCGTGTCATCTGGATCTTGGAGACCTAGTTTGGGTTTCCTCTGCATTCGGTCATCTCTGTTTTGATTCCTTAACTGCAGTAACCTAGGCTGCGGCTGCTTAGGTCCCCAGCCTGCCCCTTCGTGCCCTGTCTGCTCCCCGACACCATCCACACCCCTGTACACACCAGTCCTTCTACTCGGACATGTTCACCACCTGTCCTCATCTGGGAAGGTGGGGTTAGGGCTACTTCACCTCTCTTCCCACTGCTGTGCAAACTCGGGGGTCAGGGACACAAGCAGCCATCTCCCCCCATATGATTCTGTTGTCACGGATGCATTTAGTCCCATTTCCTTCACATCCAGTCCCCTGTCGGTGTCAATTAGGCCTCTCCCCTCCTGCGCTCCCCTGGCCTGTGGAACGTTGTCTGGTCCTAGCTGTGGTTCCCATTGCTCCCTCACCACCACCCCCCTTGGTTAACCTTGTGCCTGTCTCATGTATGATCACATCACCAAGAGGGGGGGCAATAAGGACTTCTTTATTTTTATTTTTATTTTTTTTTTGTTGCCATTTTGTAATCGTATAAAAATAGTAGACAAACTGCTTAATGGTTGGGGTTTTTTCACAATTTTCAACATTAGTGATTTTTTTTTTGATTCTGTTTGCAAGTTAAAGAGTTTGTCATTGTTTCTTTAAAAAACAATAATGCACCATATCCCTATGCATAAAGTGCTTCTTCTATTTATAAGGTTGAAAATTCTGAATAACCCTTTTAGCATTGTTAAAAAAAAAAAACAAAAACAAAAATGGAAAAAAAAACCTTGTATTTTGTAAATATTTTCTTTTCCTGCTTTGAGCTGTGTATTGGCAGCGAAACATGTAGCTGTCTTTGTTCTATAGAAATGCTTTTCTTCAGAGAAGCTGATCTTTGTTAATGTCTTGATTCTGTTCGCAAAGCACAGACTAGTGCTTAAAAAAAAAAAAAAGGAAGGAAAAATTGAAAAAAAAATAATAAAAAAAAAGTTACAGAATGTTGTGTTGCCAGGCTTTCCTTGACAATGGACGGGCTCTGCATGGCGGTGGCGGTGGTGGTGGTCGCAGCCTAGGGCCCTGCTGTGCTGAGCAGTTCTCTGCGTGCCCGGACTGGCTCCGAACATTCGGGAGTCTCCACTGTGTCTCCGGCCACCTGGCAGGGTCACCTGGTGGTCACTAGGGAGAGGCTGTCGTCGGGGGAGGTAAGGGGTGCCTGGAGGACGGGGGAATCTCTGTAGATAATCTTTTTGTTGGTTGCAAGTGATTGATCATCGCCTCTTGATGTGCCTTTCTCCAGGGAGACCAGCAGTGTGACATTTTCTCTCTCTTCTAAATGGCTAAATTCTAAACGGAGATTTCATCCCTCTCCATCGTTTTTTGTTGGGGTGTTTTTTTCCTCTCCCTGGGGTTGGGGTCAATGAGAATGTATATTTTGTAACATCATTTTTCTGAGGTGGCTAAGTGCTGCATCCTCTTTGTATAAGACAAGTAATTGGGCAGGCGTGATCCCTCTCCTCTCCTTTCTCCCTTCTCCCGGCAGTCCTGGCGATGGAGCCCGGGAAGCCCCGGCCCAGCAGGTCGCCGTGAGTGCGGAGGCATGAGTGCAGAGGCAGCGGGGCTCTGGCTGCCCTGTTGCTTGGGCGGCTACCGTGAGGATCTGCCCTGCGGGAGCTTCTGCCCGCAGGGGCTCAAGCAAGGGGGGTGAGGGGAAGAAAACGAGTCTTGCAATTTCGTATGAAGATCTAAGGGTTCCTTGTTAGGACATTGACCTAATTACTAAATAATACAACAGGTTACCGTTTTCTGTTTGGGTTTTCTTTGTGGCATTGCTGGGGGCTATCTGGGGTTCCGGTCCTGATGTAGCAGACCTCTTCCCCCACCTAAGTAAGGATCCAAAGGAGAGAGGAAGCTGCTCCGTAAGCCATTCACTCAGCTGACTGGCCAGCCTAGAAACAGACAGAAGACTCTCTCCTCCACCTAGCCCAGCCTCGGCAGGTCGCAGTATGCGGGCGCACGTCTGACGGGCTCGGAGCGCAGCCTCGGAGGTCAGCCCCAGGGCTACTGCCCTTTGAGTTGGACCGGGATGGTTTGCGAGCAGCAGAGTGGGAGAATCAACTCAGAATGAACAAGTCTGAGGACTCCTCTTGCACCTCCAGGGCCCTGCAGAGAGCTGCTAAATTCTGATGTCCAGGTTTTAGCAACCTTGACATTTCCTGTTCAGAGCCAAATACATCCTGAATCATTTTCTGCTTTGAATCCACGCATGGAGATCTTATTTAATCAGTAATAACTTTATTTCCAAATTCACTTTTACAGCAACAATCAGTGTAAATCATTTGTTAAAACACACAATACACCATAGGGACATTCACAGACAGGAAGCTAAGCTAAGATGGTTTCATGTCCCTCCCCCCACCCTCAAAATTACCGAAGAAATCGTGGGACTTGCAAGTGCCAGAAGTTGTCCTGCCGAACACTGCAAATTCACGGGGCGAAGTCCATTAGGAGGGGAGACTCTGGGCCGGTGCCCAGGGTAACCCTTTTCAAAGCTGAAGAGAAACCAGAAGTCTCGAAGCCTCAGACCCGTAGATGGGACAAGCTGACCACCTCCACCCTCGTCCCCACCTGTTGGCTTTACTTGGGGACAAAGATAAAAGACGGTGAAGGAGGAGCTCTTGGCAGCTGCCAGGAGGACAGGCTGCGTGTCCAGAGCTGGTGGGAAAGGTGACACGGAGGGGCCAGCGCTTTAGATGGAAGGGTGCCAGGGCCTGTGGGAGGCAGGGCTGCGGGCCTGGGGCCCCCGGAGAGAGGGCAGCTGTTTGTCCAGGCTCCTCCACCAGCCTTGCTGCTGGCACCAGGCTGGGCGGGAGACAGGTGAGCCGGCAGCCTGCTGCCCTGGGGATCCCTGTCCGTGGAGAGGCGAGACCCCAGGGACCTCTAGCAATAGGCTGATCTGAAGAAAAGGGTTACAAGGCGGTTGAACTGCTGCCCTCCAAGACTTCCCTCTGCCCGTGGTAACTATCTTACAGGGTCCTCCCCCCTCCCCCCAGAAGCACGACAAGCAAACAGGATACAGTCTCCGCATTGAAGTCAAGTTAAATGGAACTACTGATAAGTTTAGTGGAGGGCTCGAAGGGACCAGGCGAACAGCACAGCCTGTCTGGGATGCCCGAGGGACACTGACTATGGAGGTGGGGGGGGGGGGGGGGGGGGGGCAGACTGCCCAGCCCTAGGGGGCCGGGGGAGGGGGATTGTCCTCATTCAGGGTCACAAGCCAGCATCCCTTTGCAGTCCCTCTGGCAGCACTGACCCTCCCACCCTAAACCATGATCTCTAGGCCACCCCCAATAGTCCGTCCCACCGGGGAGATCCCAGAGCCCTCGAGCAAGGCCCTCAGAATAAGGTATGGAAGAGCAGGGCTCAGCAACCGCAGAAAGGGGTAGCCCGAGGCCCTGGCAGTGAGGAGGGGCCGCGTGTCCAAGAGCTACCAACCGTGAACTCCATTTCCCTTCTCTGCCTCAGGACCCTTCTAAGGACAGCTGGGACTAAAACCGGTGGAGAGCCTCACGGTGGCCGGTTCTGGGCCCAGATGATACCTTGCACGGAAACCCCGGCTGCAGACGCGCCCGGCCCTGGACAGGCGGCCCTGGGCTCCCAGCAGCCCCCAGGGTTGCCGGAGCCTGGGCCCGAGGTTGCCGAATTTGTTTACAGTGATTCTCTACAAAGGCGGTTCCCTTTTCCCCCGTGGAGACAGACGGGGCCCCGACCGCGGCTTTGGGCCGCGTGTCTCCGACTCGTCAGCCCCCTGCAGTCGGGCAGCTCGGGCTCCCGGGGCTCCTCCGGCGCAGGCCGTCCGCGCAGGCGCGGGGACAGCTTGCGGTGGGACCCCAGGTTGAGCAGGGGCTGCGGGCCTCTCCCCGGCTGGCACTGGATTCCGAGACCCTCTCTCAGGGTTGCTGGGACCGGAGAGGGCCATCTTCCTGCGGCCAACCAGGCCGGCCGCACTCTCCGCCCCGACAAAGGGAAGCCCCGGCGGGGCCGCGAGGGGGCGCCGTAGCTCCCGGCCTTCCTCGGAGCTGAGGGTCCTCGGATGTCACAATCTGGTCTCGGATGGGTCCCAGGTGCTGTGAAAGCCTTTCCAATCCGGAGGCCCCAGCAGGGTGGAGCCACACTGGCCCCCTGGAGCCGAGCCCCAGTGTGTGGGGGGTGGGGGGAGATATCTAGGACCCCCACGGGGGTGGGTTAGAAACCTCTTCACAAGCATTTCCAGATACATGCGTCCTTTTTTTTTTTTTTTCCTTTTCATTATCATAGTCTGGTGAATCCAAGCATAAACAGATCCGACTACAAGGCGACAGGGTGCAGACGGGGAGGGAAAGGCGACGTCTATGTATATGTCAGCTGCTGCGGCAGGACAGACGGCACTGCTTCCAGCTGGGCCGGGGGACGAACCGTTTCCAAGGGGGGTGCTCCCCTTCCGGGGCGTCCGCATGGTGGGGGGAGGTCGGGCGGTGGCGGGGCTCTCTGAGGCTGGCGGTCACAAGCCTGGGCTCAAGTGGGGGGACATGGGCCGGCGGGGGGAGGCAGTGTGGTCCTGCCCTGGGGGCCTCATCTGCCTGTCCCGGTGCCACCTCTGGAACCAGGACAGCCAACCTGCTGCCAGCTCAGCTGGGAGGAAAAGGCTCTCCGAGTAAACAAGGCAAAAACATCCCGGGGCATCGCTGAGCCCGCCCTGGCCCACGTCTGTGAGGAGAGGTGGGGGGTAAGGAACTGAGGAAGATCGTCAGCTTCGTGGGGGCCGCACCAGCTGGTGAGTAGAACTTAAGCCAAGAGACCAAGGTCTCACCGTGTGCCCGGGCTTCGCCTTCACTCGCTCACACCCTGTAGAGGAGAGCAGGTGCCTCCCGTATCCAATGTCTGAGAAGGGGCGTGGTGAGGCTGGGGACCCGGGACAGCGTGACATAAGGAGGGGGACAGGCAGTGACTGGGCTCCGCACAGCAGACACGCGGGCATGGCGGGGGAGGGGGGGACAGGTGGCTGCAGTGGCCGTGGGAGGGGCAGGAGGCTCAGGACCCACCTGCCGGAGTCCCGCACGCTCCCGAGATGCCCGAGGCCCAGGCTTGGGAACAGGCGGATGCCCCCAAGAGGCACGAGTCCTTACAAAGAGAACTGGTTAGCCCTAAAGTCCCAGGTCGGTGAGGTGGCCAAAACCGTGGCTGCAGTTCCAACCTTCAGAACTCAATAAAACGGGGTTTCCGTGGGGCAGAGGGAAGCCCCTCAGCTCAGGACCCCCACCCTGCAGGGAGGGAGAAAGAGGCCAGCACTGGGGACATCAAGGTTAGGCTTCTCTGAGGAAGTGACCGCAGGGTGCCACCCTCCCGCCAACCGTCCCTTCACGGTGTGGGAGGGACCGGAGCCCTTCTCCAGAGGGTGGCACCCTGGCCCGCAGCGGACCCCGGGCCACCAAGCACAGGAGGCTACTTGGTCCAAGTTTGCTGCGGGCGGCAGGGGCAGTTGGCCCTTCCTGCTGCCCTTCCAGGCGGAGGACAGTGGCTCCTCCCCACCGAGCACCTCTCACCCCCTCCCACCTCTCCCTTCTGCCCTCTGCCCCCCACCCCGCCCAGCCTCTCCCCTCCCCTCCCCTCCCCCCCGCCCCCACCCCCAACAAGGGTGACCTGCCTGCGGCTCCAACATGGCACCCCGGTTTCAACTCCTTTGTTGCTGCCGCTGCCTCTGTGACACCCCCAGGATGGGGCAGAGCAGGGGCGCCCCCAGTCCCTTGGGATGCCCCAGAAGCAGCTTTCAGAGCCTCTCCTCCCTCTACTCAGAGGGGAAAAAAAAAGAATCAAAAGTAATTGCCCAAGGAAATGTTGGGTGTGGCCATCTTTTCAAATGTTTTTAAAAATATTTTATTGTTATGAGCCCACCCATCAATTTGGAAAGATGAAATTTGCTCTTTTGCCCCGTCACTGATTTTGAAGTCCCGAGCCAGAGCCGAGCGACAAAAGCAGGTTAAGTGATTAACCGATGAACCGGTCTGTGAGGAGCAGCTGGGGGAGGGCAGAGGGCGAAGGGCCAGATCATTATTCTTTTTTTTTTCCACACTCTCTCCTCTCCACGATTATTGACCGCCCCGGGGGCCTGATCACAAACCCTGCTTGGCCAGGGAGGCGGACACTTCGTCGGCTAGCGTGGCGAGCTGGGGCGAGTCTACCATGTCGATGCTGCCCGTGGAGGACACGTTGCTGAGGTGCCGCGGAGACGTGTCCCCGGACACCACGGGCGACTTGTACACGATCTCTGCCCCGTGGTCGGTCTTGGCTTTGGCATTCTCGCGGAAGGTCAGCTTGTGGGTTTCAATCTGCAAGAGAGGAGGCGAGGGAGGGCGAGTGAAGCCACAGAAAGGCAGGCAAGCCCGGCCCGCCCACGGGCCCGGGGTGGGAGGGAGCCGTGGTGGTGGCGGTGGGGGCTGTGTGATCACCTTCCTGGAGGGGGCACCTGCGCACGGCTCGCACGTCACCTGCCTGCCGGCCACCCGCTTCCCTTCTCCGGACGCAGTGACTGGCGTTCGTTTCTTGTGTGTCCTTCCAGAGATGCCCACACGTGCGCAAGGACGTGGGATGTATGAAGTGTGTCTGTATATTTAATACACACAGTGACAATATCCACATGCTTTACGCTTCGGTGTTTCGACCTAATACCTTCCTTTATCGGCACCCGGTTTCCCCGATGCGTGCTGCCGGCGGCGTGGATTCCGTCGCCCTGTACCAAAATGCACCTGCTCCCCAGGCACGGGTATTCGCGCTGTCCCCACCTTTGCCTATCACAAACAGCGCTGTGTCTGAATACCTGCGAGTGCACAGCATTTCACATGCGGGGAAATGTATCCTCAGAGCAGAATGGCTGGTAGGTCAAAAGGCATGTGCATTTGATTTATAGATACTAACAAGTTGCAAATCAAAGTGTGAAGGATGGGGCGCCTGGGTGGCTCAGTCGGTGAAGCGTCTGCCTTCGGCTCAGGTCATGATCCCAGGGTCCTGGGATCAAGCCCCACATTGGGCTCCCTGCTCGGCAGGGGGTCTGCTTCTCTGTCTACCCCACCCCCCAGCTTGTGCTCGCTCTCTCTCAAATAAATAAATACAATCTTTAAAAAAAAAATAAAAAGCATGAAGGAGGAGCCGGAGAGGAGTAAGGGACATCTCCAGAGTCACTGCTGGCTAGCCATGAGCCACACACATTCCTCCCCCTCGCTGGTGATGGGGGGGTTTGGAGGTGGCAGCAGCTGTGGGCAGCCCTGGAAGGTGGGCTAGAAATCCTGACGTGACGAAGTCCTTTTTCAAGTACAGAAACGATGACATAGCCAGGGGTCCAGAGGTCTTTGCTCCACAGGATGGCCGGGACACCCGAAGCATTTGCTAGAGATGTGAGCAGTTCGTAATAATTCCGGATGAGCCCTGAAGTGGTGGACACAGGAATTCCCTACTCTTTTGGACCCTGGAACCGCTGTGCATCCGGTGAAGCCAGGAAAATGTACACACAGGCAGGCATGCGCTTACCCACCCACAATTCTTCCACGTGATTTCAGGAGTCCGTGGACCATGGGGTGAAGAGTCCCCGTTGCAGGGGGCTTGAATGTGGGTGTAACGAAAAACCAGGCTCCCATGTAAGCTCTACGCTTATTTTGTCCATTTTGGTGCAGTGCTTTGCAAAAAGAGCCCTTCGGTATCACTGTATTCGAAAGGCCGTGGGGACGTAAGCTTTGATAAGAGCGTTAGTGTTGGTGTCTTGTAGAAAAAAGTGATAGGGTCCTGGAAATGTCCCCAAATCTCCCAAACTGGAAGCAGCTCTGGCGGCAGGGGTCTTGTGCTCCACTACGCGTCAGCAGTTCTGCTCATCATGTCAGGATGTGGGGGACTGAATACGAGGGGACTCTCTGGGATCACGACAGTGTCTTCTGGGTGGTGGGCAGGCCCACCCTTTCTGAGCCGGCACAGAGGTGAGTTAAAACAGAAGTTCACACTCAGGCCTGACTCTGACTCACATTCTTAGATGGCTACAAAGTACCAGGAACCTTCTAGAACATGGTCTCTTTTGGGTCTCCCCACCACCCTGGGATGTGGATATTTCCGTCCATTTTGCTGATGGAGAAATGAGCCGAGAGCACTTGCCCATCCTGCCCAGGGTCACACGTCTAAGCAGAGTCAAACCCAGAGCTTTGCTCAGGACATAGAAGCTTCCAGAGATGGGCGGAGACCTTCCCTCACCCAGGGAGTCAGCAATGCCCAGGCCTTAAACCAGGAAGGCGACAGGTGACAGAAGCTAGCAGAGCCGCTGGGCTTTTGCCGAGAACCTTCTCCACGGCCCCAGAGAACTGGGCCCTTCCTCACTTCCCCTGAGGCACACAGCCTCCAGGACCCTCTCTGATGAGGGACCCAGGGACGGAGAAGTATTCCTGCACCTCGGAAGCTGAGTTTCGGGAACCTCTTCAGGTCCACCTTGGGGTCGGGGGGCACCGCACGGGGCACTGTGGGGAGCCAGAGAGCACACAGCCATCCAAGGGCCCGTACCCTGTCGTCCGCCCCAGCCCCCCACCCTTCAGGGAGCTCATCTGGGGGTCAGGTGTGCCCCAGGCCTGAGTCTGCAGCCTCTGCTTTAAGCTATCTCAGGAGGTGCTTCTCCAAAACTGCACCGTTGGGCTTTCACCTCAAACACAACATGGGGTATGTCTATCGAGAAGGCCCGGCGACGAGCCAGACTGGGGGCAGGGGGGCTCCGATTGGCCCTGGGGGCTCCCCATTGCCGCCCCGGCCAGCGTGCTGTGCCGGCTGCCACTTCCAACCAGCCGGGCCACCTCGGGCAGCACCCTTTCTCATGCTGGGTCAGGTCTCAGAGTCTGTGCCCATTCTGGAAGCCCCCTTCTCCTCCCACCACAGCTCTGTCAGCCGCTGGGAGGCACTACAAACTGGTAGATGAGCCATTTCCAGAACTTCATGGCAGGCGTGGGTGGGAACCCCCCAGAGGGCACTTTGGCTGCAGTTCTGCAAAAGAGGAAACGTGCAGCCACGAGCCCACATCCTGTGATGCGCCCGGAGGGAGCCTGCTCAGGGCCACACGCATCCCCGTGTCCCCCTCCCCCGTGCTCACACAGTGAGACCCGGAGGCTCAAGAACGTGCGGGGGTCGCCAAGATCCTCGGGCCGGCAGCCTCCCCGTGGACGTTTCCGTGCCAGACAGGCAGGGGCTCCGCAGGAACCTGGATTTCAGCAGCACTGTTTTGCTCTAACTGCCTAGTGACCCATTTAGAAAATTAGGTTATGTTCCTATGACTTGTTCATGGTGTGCTGGGGCGGGCTCTGGGGCTGGCTACCTCCTTTTGCGGATGCTTGCCAACCACGGGGCTGAATGCTGTCACCGAGGACAGCGGTTCTCACCTGTCACTGCCCGGCAGAATCACCTGGGGGCTTTAGAAGTTCCAGGTGCCCAGGTGGCACCTGAGACCCATCAGAGTCTCCAGGTCGGGCCCGGCCATCAAATCTGGTAAAGCTCCCAGGTGACCGCAATGGGCAGCGAAGGTCGAGACTCACGGTCCTGGGGGTTGCTGAGAATCCACATCAAGCCGATCAAGACAGGCCCCCCAGCTTTCCTCCCCTGGAAAACTGGACCAGGCTTGTCCACCCCACTCCATTCACAGCTACATCCAAATGCAGCCTCCCCCCGCCCTGCCCCCTTTACCTTTTTATTCCCTCCGCCAGGGACATGGGTGATGTTGTCCAGGGACCCGATCTTCGACTGGACTCTGTCCTTGAAGTCCAGCTTCTCAGATTTTACTTCCACCTGGCCACCCCCTGAAACACAATGCACACAGGGCGCCGCGCCTTGAAGGAGGGCGGAGCACGTGACGCCAGGCAGACGCCAGTCTCTCCGAGTAGGTAAAACTATCCTTCATTTAGAAGGTGCTCTGGGCCCAAGTAAGCCCTTCCAGAGGGCTTCACAACAGTTTGCTCCATCTCTCTCATCAAGGTGTGCATCCAATATTTGCTCAACAAACACTTCCTTTTTCTTTAATGCACAGGTCAATGACAGCTCAGTCCAGGAGGAATGGTTCCACACTCTAAACTGGTTGGCTTCCAAAAAGTGAAGTCCTTCTATGTCAACATCCTGTAAGGCACAGCCCTGCAAGATCTCGGAATGAAACTAAATGGCAAAATGCACCCTAACCGAGGAAGGGGCCTGACCCTTCTCCCTCCTCCGACACTAGGTGCCGAGCCCAAGCATGGGGGACACAGCCTGAGGAAGAGACAAACAGCATTCCTTTCTGGAGAAAGGATAAAGCCACCCAAGAAAGCTGCTCCCAGCATGGGAGGATGATGACACCAGGTGCAGGATGGTTTTCACTGGGAGAGACTAAACCCGCACAACATGTCCCAGCGAAGCCAGAACCTGACGGGCCACGTTCGGGACTATGTTTCTGCCAACCTTCTCTCCCCATGGGAACACTTCAAGTAAAGATTCTGCTCTGAAATCGGGCTTAAGGCAGAAGCCCCTGCTCTGGACTTCCAGGCAGGAGTTAAGATTCTAGATCAGCGCTGGACAATACAGTAACCACCAGCTACGTGTAGCTACTTAAATTTTAATTAAAAAAAAAAAATTCATTTCATCAACTGCACTAGCCACATTTCCAGTGTTCAACAGCCACACGTGGTTGGTGGCTACCATACTGGACAGAGCAGGTCAAGAATATTCCCATCACTGCAGAGAGAAATCTGCAGATAGCTCTGGTTTCTACACGGTGTGGGACGGGGAGGAGAAAGGTAAGCATGGCAGAGCGCCAACAGTATTTTCTGTTAAAGTCACAGCAGGAGCATGGCAATGGCTGGTCAAGTGTCGCGACCCCCTACCCCCGCCATGTTGGCCGGGGACCAAACCGGAACAATCCACAAGCCAGCCTCCAGGAGCCAGATGAGGCCCTCCCCCAGCTCCAGAGGCCCTACGTGCACCCGCTCCGAGAACCACGAGTTAGGGTTTAGGCCCAGCATCCATCTGCCCTCCGTCCTCGCTTTGCCTTGGCCAGGATGGCGCCCGGCCCAGGAGCGAGACAGGGCAGCCACCCCTCCAGGGGCCCAGCAAGTCCCACCTCCAACGCTCCCCTCGTCAGCCCGTCCCCTGCATCCTTCCCAGCTACTTCAGGAGAAGCCCCCCGCCACCCCTGGCCGGTCCTGCCCTCCCCCCCCTTCCCGCCTTCTGCAAGGGCTACCTGGCTTATGATGGATGTTGCCTAATGAGCCACACTTGGAGGTCACCTTGCTCAGGTCCACTGGTTTGTACACTATTTGCACCTGGAGGTGAGAGAGGATGAGCAAGAGACAAAGAATAAAACAGGATGATTTCACTGTGGGCGGAACACCATGAAAAGCAGCTGTGTCAGTCAGATCAGGCCCTGCTGGGGACAGTGCTTCCTGTTGCCCCAAGGAACACACCCTCGCCATGGTGGGGAAAATGTACCGTTGGACTTCTGCCGACCCTGCCCCGCGGGGAGTCGGGTCGTCACAAAATAACTGTGGGACTGGAGTGCCCTCCGTCCCTCAGGGGAAAACAGGGAGACTCCGTCATGGGGCAGGGCCCGCGCCGCTGGTTTCGGTCCCTCTTCCCTGACATGACACGGACATCACATTCAGTGGGGACAAAGCAAGAAGGGATCAGCACGATCCATTTGTGCCACATTTAGAAAATCTTGTTGGAAAAGCAAGGAAGCTAGGTCTGCTGGTCGCTGGGCCTCAGAGAGGAGCGGGCAGAGCAGGGTTGATGGGTAGGCTTTCTCCCAGGACAGCCTCCCACCAGCCCTAGCACCACAGCGAGCACGGTGACAGCAAGTGGGACCCAGAGCCGTTTGGCAACTCGGTGGGAAGAGCCAGCCAGCACCTGGACACACAGTGTCCTGGACATTTCGGTTCTGTATCCCAGGGAGCAAAGCGACAGGAGCTGGGCAGGCGGCACAGAGGAACCCGCTGGGACACACACAGGTAGGGGAGACCTCAGGGCTCCTCAGAACCAGCCGAGGGCCCAGCATGTGGCTTGGCCACACCGCCCACCCTCCGGAGGGGGTGATGGCCCCCCAATCCCAGCTCAAGACCCAGCTCCCTGGAGGGGGCACACCCACAGGCTCCGCCCCACCCCCACCTCGGCCGCATAGGCATGGCTGGGGGGGTCCCTGGATGGTCACTGATGGACACTTCCCAGAGCCTCCAGCAGCCACCTGTGTGAGCCACCTGTGGGTACAAGCAGCCAGTCACCATGGAGTGGGGAGTTGGCTCCCACTCTCTGCCCCCGGAGTGACCCAGGAGAGAGATGGCCTGGAGCCAGAGAGCCAGAAAAAGGGGGACATCAACTCCTGTCTAAATCATCTGGAACAATTCCAAATTAATGAAAATCATGCTGGCATTTGCCATTTATTGATGGAGAGTTGAGGCCGACAGGTGCCCATGGGCTGTGTGGGGGTGGCAGCCCGTGCCTGTGAGGGTGAGCAGGTGGGGAAGGAACGATTCTGAGGGAATCTGGCCTGGGAGACAGCGCGTGCTGCGCGGGGCGCCGAGAGGCAGGGAAGGGGCTATGGGGCTCCTCCCGGCATGAGGGAGAGGGAAGTAAATGCTGTGAGCCAGCCTTCCTTCTTTCCCCTCAGCCCCGATGAGGGAACAGGGAGTGGAGGGGAGGCGTGGAGAAGGAGCAATCTGGATCCGCAGAGGGAAAAGTATTGCTTGAGGGCAGGAGCCAGGGCAGGGGAGGTCAGGCGGACTGGAGGCTGGGGGAGGGAGGCCAGGCCCTGGAGTGGAGCCCAGAGCCAGCCAGGAGGCGCAGAGGATCCCGAGATGGACAAGGAGCACGGTCTGCCTGCTGGGAAGTCACCACCAGGCTCAGGAAGGGAGAGCAGCCAGCCAGAGGCTGGGGCCCAGGCCAGCGGTCTAGCGCCCCCAGAACACCTGGAACTGCTTGGAGCCCCCCAGCCACCTTCCACCAGGAGAAGCGCTTTCTGTGAAGGCTCCTACTGCAAAGGACCATGCTCAGGGCCAGCCTGAGAAATCCTGGGCCTCCCAGGTCATCTAGGCTGGCTGTAGACGGGCAGAGAGCGCAGGCCAGACGGGGGTGTGTGTGTGTGTGTGTGTGCGCGCGCGCGCACGCACGCGCCCCCGAGGAAGTCCCCTGATGCCCTGGGCATTGCCAACAGCCATGGGAAGCTACTGTCTCCCCAAAACTCATGCCTGGAGGAGCAGTCTGCCGGCTGCGGCCCCCTGGACCCCAGAGCCTAGGGCTGCCCCGCACACCCGCCACCAGCGACCAGACCAGCGTCACAGCAGAGGGCACGTGGCCTTCCTCCTCGGCCAGAGCCCGTGACACCAGAGCACCAGGAGTCAAAGCTGACACAGCCACCCGCACTCCACCTGGAGCCCGGGGGGCATGGCTGGTCCCCACACCTTCTCTTGGCTTCTGGGAGCAGTGGGATGGGAGAGCGGGTACCGGGGACACAGAGGGGACACGGAGCAGACACCGGTGGGGAAGCGTTACCCAAGCGCATGCAGCAGCGGGAAAGCACACGCTAGTCCCAGGGACAAGCGGCGGGATCCAGGTGCTCAGCAGCACATTGCAAGAATAAACCTGGCGGGGGGGGGAGGCGGGGCTGGATGCAGGGGTGCGGGCCCGGGCTGGGCATGTTCTGGAGGGAAAGCCTGCCCGGGGCTACCACCTTCTCCCTGGCACCACCAGCTGGGAGTGAGATCCCTGCTCTCAGAAACCGTCCCCCCACGCGGGGGTGGGGGGAGAAGGGGACATCAAACAGGCTCGGCCCTCTCCCTGCAGTGTGTTTAAAGGTGGGTTGCCAGCCAACCGAGAGGCGGGGGAGTGGGCCAGGGTGAAGGGGCGCCCCACCTCCAGACGTCCCCACTGTGAGCGGCCACGGAGCAGCCGGAGGGTAACAGCAGAGTTGACCGAGTAGATGGGTGAGAAGTGAGGATGCCAGCCCCAAATCTCAGGCCCTCACCCACTGGGAACACCAGGAGCCCCCAGGACATTTGGAGGAAGCCAAATTTAAAAGGGTGCAAAGCCGCATTTCTCTGTCAACCCGACTGCTGTAGGCAGGGTCCCCTGGTGCACTGTTTGGGGCTCTTTTGCACCTGACTCTGCCGATGGGGTGGGGGGGCTGGTTTTACACCCGAGCCCGGGCTTAGGGACCTGCTCATCCCTTGCAAATGCAGGAGACAAACATGGGCAGAGATTGGACTTCTCCTGCCCTGCAGTAGGACAGGAAGACGTTGTGTCTGCTTATCAGCCCAGGTGGACCAGCTGTCCACGGGGCTGTCAAAGTGAACCTGCCCCAGTGACAGGGGAGGAGGTGACAGAGTCCAGTCCCTGGCACTGCCACCTTCAGCCCAACCTCACGCAGGCTGTGAGGCTTCCAGGAGCCTGTGGTGGGCGGTGGGTGGCGCCGACCAGGGCTATTATGCGGTGAGGACCTGGCCTCTGGGTCTGGGACAGAGAGGGGCTTGGTCGTCTTCCTTTTACCGGCCCTGCAGCCTGCACAGGCCAGGGAACCCACGGATGCTGGGGCAGCCCTCCTAGAACAGTGGGCACACGTGCGGGGAGCCTGGGCTACGGGTAGTGGGGCCACAGACAGACCCCGAACCGGAGAATGGTTTATTCTCTGCAATGTCTTGCAAGTGTCCACACCCATGCTGCTGCTTACAAACCGCAGTACGGCGCAGGGTAAGTGTGAGCGTACTCACACTGCCTCCTCCTGGCACGTGTTTGATATTATCCTTTGAGCCACACTTGGATTGGACGTTGCTAAGATCCAGCTTCTTATTAATTATCTGCACCTTTGATAGCCAGAAAAAAGGATGAGTGACATACTGCGCCCAGCTCCATCTGCTCTGTACTAACATACTCCCCTGTCTGGCTTCCAGGCAGGGAGAGGAGGCCCCAGGCTGAGGGCAGGGGGTCTGAGTCACACCTTCTCAGGGGAGCTGCCCCAGGAAGGCATTCCAGAACTGTGGGTGACGGGCTCCACTTTACAGTGCTGGGTTTAGAAAGCACAACCACTGGGAGGCGATTCGCATCACCGAGGCCCCCCCAGAGCACATCGGAGGCCTATAAGCCACAGCTGAGTGTCCACCAGGCTGGGATGGAGTGAGATGTGCTCAATTATGTAACTGAATGAATAAATCAAAGAAATACAAAGTCCCATCTGTGTCCTCATTTACACACCTACCAGGCCCACCAGAACATTCACGAGAGATTTCTGTGGCTGCCCTCAAGCCTGGGAGGCACTGGAATCACCAGATTTTTTTTTTTTTTTTAATCCCAGACCCCACCCGGACCTAGAATTAGAATCTCAGTCTCTGTGCTTCTGGAAGGCTCCCCTGGTTGCTTCTTTCGGACGCTTGGCGAGGTTTGCGAATCGCTGACCTCTCGGGGAGGACGCAGATGGCTCTACAGAGAGAGACGAATCCAGACCTTCCTCCGCGTGAGATATCCCTGTTTTAGCAGTGACTGATTTCTACTCAATTTGTCTAAAAACTGAAATACACAGACAACCCTGGCAGAGAGAAGGAGAGTCTGGTCTGCCTGAGCAGTGATAACATCTTTATCCCCGGGGTCTCTCCCCGCAGGAGCTCCCTGCTTGGAAACAGTGTTCCTGTTCCTCACTGAGAACAGCCACCAGCTGGAGAGCTGGAGTTCCCCAGTAAGAACCAGCACTGCTCTCTGAAATTCAGGAAATGGCACCAACCCCTCCTTTGTGGCCTTTGTGAACGGCGGGCGGGGGCCCCTGCTCCGGAGACTCGGGATCCGTGAGGGTAGCTGTGGTTGCAGGAGTCACAGAGCCCTGGCCTGGCTCGTGGTGGGGAGAAGGGTCCCAAGCCCTGACCCCAGAGCCAGAGCCAGCCCTCAAGGGGGCCGCAGATCCTCCGCAAAACGAGGAAACAAGGACATGATGGCAAAATCTGTCCATCCTACTTTTCCGTGTTAAAACGGCCTTTCCTTTATTAAATTATTAGTTATTAAATTACATTGGTAGCAGATCACGTTTATCATTTTTAGATGTCCTTAGCCTGACAAAATACAGAGTAATCTCCTCTTGGACCCCATCCCATTTTTTCCCCTAATCTCACTGGTCTGGATCAAAACACTAGGTAAGCACACACCTGCCCCACCTTTTTCATTCTCTTCTCTGTTCCTTTAAAATAAAAAGCTATGTATTTTTTTTTCATTAGAAAAGTAACATAACATTATGATTTTGAAAAATATATTTTAAAAAAAGCAAAAAAACAAAAGTTTTCCCACCACCCTAACACGACAATCACTTTTGGTTCTGTTCCCTTGAAGTCACAGATCTATAAATAAAACTACCATCACGTACATATAAAGGTAGTAATTACCTACATACACTTCTACATCTTGCTTTATCAAGGACCATCACCTTCTAAGCATTTGTCTTATCTACAGTCACGAAAAGCACTATTTTAAATAATATGTCATATTCCATTTTTTGACATCTGTGTGATCAGATACTTATTTTAAATAACAGAAAGTCTCACCATGAACATCTTTTTGCAAGGAGTTCTTTCCATATTATAGATTATTTTCACAGCAGAGTCTCAGAAGTAGAATTTCTGTGTCCAAGTTATAAACATTCTAAAAATTCTCAATACGACTCTCCAAGTGGCTTTCCAAAAGGGTCGGATTAATTTACCCTGTGAACACCATCAAGAAAGTCCCTTTCGCCACATGGCTGCCAATGTCGGGCATTTTAGACTTGGTTTGCTTTCTTTCACTAAAATAAATGGGACGGCATTGTTGGCTTATTCTGCATTTTTTTTTTATTATTACGAAGTTGTCCCTTTGCCCCCTTTTTGCTGGTAGATGTATTTTTTTCTACGAATGTTTATATCTTTATAGATTCAGATTCTTCCTTTGTCATTTCTCTGGTATTTATTTATTTATTTATTTACTTACTTATTTTTAAGAGAGGGAGTGAGAGAATCTGAAACAGGCTCCATGCCCAGTGTGGAGCCCAAGGTGGGGCTTGATCTCATGACCCTGAGACCATGACCTGAGCTGAAATCAAGAGTCAGATGCTTAACTGACAAAGCCCCCCCAGGCACCCCTCTTCTCTGGTTTTTAAACATAAAAACCACTCCTCATTTAGAGGTTGGGTAAATTTCTAATTCCACATCATCTTCCTCACCTTCCATGCCCGTAACTTCGTGATGAGGAGGCCATTTGAGGTCCTGAGAGGTTCAGCAACCTTCTCACATCAGGACATAACTACAAGGCTCCCCACGTGACAACAGAGCTTTGCCCCAGCTCCCTCAAGCTGGGTGTCTCATACACCAAGTACAAGGACACTCTCTCTCGGTGGACGCGGAAATTCTCTTCTGGTGGCAAGGAGATGCAGTGGCCATGTCTCAGCCCAGGCTGGAGCAGGGGCAACAAGCGGGACGGGCTTTCTCACCCTGCTTCTCAAAGACTTGCCGCTGCCCCTCGGCACAATGTCTCTGAATTAGTTCATGCCATCCTCAGATTTTAAGGAGTCGAACCTGAACTCCTTCTGTGGGGATCATGTTTTACTCATCCCTTTCCACTGGTTGAGTCCCAGAAGCCGACTTGCCTGCTTTCACAAAGGCACTGCGGCAGTCTAGTATTAGAAAACACACACACGCAAACACACCAGATATTAACACAACAAAATTAAACAGATAATGGTCAAAGAGGGAGAGGTCATCAGGACTGACAATGAGATTGTACATTATATTGAACTCCGAGCTCCCTGGAAGCCAAGGCAAAACGGGAAACATGAGGAGCTACTTAACTCTTTTTATCCAACAAAGAAAACTTGCCAGTTTTTCAAGGAAGATAACCTTGTTTTCTGAACTAACCCTTTTAAGAACTTCACCAAATGAATTTGGCGACATTAAGCAACAACAAGATCTGCAATGTACATAGACTTTTTTTTAATGTGGCTTTTTCTTGTTCCAATCCCACACAAAAGGCAACAAGTTTTTTTGTGGGATTTGGCAGTAGACATAAGGATATTTACAAAGCAGACCTGAATTACTGTTAGTCGTCAGATAAAGTCAACACCCTTTACAGAGTGTTAGATTTACATAAGGGAGATGAAAGGGTTGGCATTGAAACTGGAATCCAGAAACTTAATTTCTCGGCTAGAGCAACATGTAGGATGTTGAGCCTCAGCTCTGAGCAGACACTGAAAATCCTCATCAAAGGAAAGAACAATGTTTTCGGAGCTCCGAATTTTGATCCAGGGGACTCAAAGTCAAGGGAGAAATTCCTGCGGTCAGGGTTTGATCCAGGAGGAGAGGCTGGGGTGGGGTGGGGCTGAGGACAGCTCCACTTTGGTTTTGTCTATTTCCTTGAGGACGTGAAGCTGTCCCAAAGGCTCCCCGGGACTTGATTTGATTCGGTGTGGGCTCAGAGCTCTCAAGGTTCTCCAGATGGCCCAGTCCCCCCAGGAGCTCCCAGGCTGGCCCAGTGTCCACTGGCCGTCCCTGGCAAAGCCTGTCTCCAGCATAGCCTGGTGTTTGCTGGGCCCAGGTTGGCTCCACTGGAGTCGACATACCTGGTGCATCTTTAAAATGATGGGATTTACACAAGATTGTTCAGAGATACAGATGCTGTGCACAGGGAGAGGTGCCCAGAGGGCCTGGGAGTTACAGGGCTGTCCCAGGGAAGGGTCCCAACCTGGTTCTGCAGGGCCTGGCGCCTCAGCTCAGGTTCAGCTGAGTCCCTGGCCCTGATCCAGGAGAGGCAGACTATACCAGGTACAAGCTGACTTAACTTATTCCACGTAAATATTCTGTGTGCTTTTTACAACGAGAACTGGGACTCTGTCACTAAATATAATGAATTTTAAAAAATACAGTCTTCAGTGCTCCAGCGTGGAGACAGGCAGCATTCTGTTGCCATCTAGTGGCCACCTGAAATATTGCAGCCCAAGGCTCTGGATGATGGGCGGGGGAGGGGTGGGGGAACCTTTCGGCTCTTGGTTGGTTTCTGTCCCGCCTGCGGCCCTCGCGTCGCACAACTGGTCTGGACGTCCTCAGAGCCACAGGCACCACCCCCGTTCTGACCAGGCGGCCTTGGCCCCAGGTGAGCTCCGTCTCTCTCCCACTCTGGATGGTCCCTGGGACTCCTGTTCTTCCCTCTGTGCTCTGCACTGAGCACACAGAGGGATGCTGAGGGCTCTCAGTGGGGTTGCCTTAACCTCACGGAGCCCTCACCCACCCTGCCTTTCAACTCTGATCCTCCCAACCTCAGTCCCCACGACGCACGGACCATGGAGCCTGAGGGTCCCTCCGGGCGGGCAGGGCCCTCCACCACCCTCCTCCTCCATTCTCTCCTGTCCTGTCAGGGCAAAGGCCCAGCTGGTTCACCACGGACTCGGCGGGGACCTCCCTCCATCGGCTGGCAACTGCCCTGAGCTCTGGTGTAAACAAACACAACTCCAGCCTAAACCCTAAACCCTAAACTGGCCGCCCCAGCTGGTGCCAGTTCTAGCTTAATTTTGCTTTTGCTTTGAACATCTCCAGGGTGCGGTTTCCCTCTGTCTTCTTTCAGCCTGTGAACCTAGCACTCTGTGCAGGGGACTGTCCGTTCAGAGACCAGATGATGGTCTCCAAAAGGGTCTGTCCTGTCTTCTCTGACTTGTTTGTGGGTGACACTTCGCATTGTGGGTGACGATCGGTAACACAGGTGACTCTCCGTGTGGGGGACCTTCCGTGTGGGGGACCCCTCCCCGGTGAGGGCGGCTCTCTGCTGCATCTCCTTCCCTGGCCAACCTGTCCTCATGCCCCCTTTTCTCTAGGCCTCCGGGGCAGGAACTCTCCGCACAGAGCTTGGCGCTCAGAGGGGCCCCAGGACTGTCGAGTGAATGAACAAAGGACGGGAGGAAGGAACCAGCTTTCAGTGCTATTGTCTGTGCTGTTGTACTGGTTGTGTTTTCGAACTTATTTCTGCTCTTACCTCTGCATCTGCATTCTTTTTTCCCTCCACCAAAAACATAATCGCCCTGCTGCAGCCATTTAATTTTTTTAAATAACAAAAGCATTTAAAATGATGAATTCCTTTGAAGTACAATTTAGGGGAACCTCCACATGACATATGGTGTTTGTTACCAATGCACGCGGAAAAGGCATTCTTCGCTTCCAAACTAAGAGTACGTGACACAGGACAATTTTTTAATTCCCAAGTATTTGTAGTAATGTAGGTGATATGTATACAATCAGGTTCTGGGGCAGGACACTGAGGGAACAGACAAGTGCAATGTTTCCCTGTATTTATAGGTCTTTTTTTTTTTTTACACACTATATGGATTATTGGCATAGCATCTGATAAATCCTCTGTCATACAGTTTAATTCCTGGTGTTTAAAAATTTCCCTTCTCAATTACTTGGACTTTCAATGTCCTTCTTTTTTTTTTTTTTGCTTTACTATCATCTACTGTAACACTTCCAGTTACAATGTATTCCTATCCATGTTTTTCTGATTAGAAATGTTTTCACTGCAGAAAATTTGGGAGGAAAGGGAAAAACACACAATCTCTGAGTCATTGGCATTTTGTCATAGTTTCATTTTCTCTGCAAACTTTTTATATCAACAGTAGGCAAAACCTGAATAGTCCTACACTATTTTTTTTTACGTTTTTATGTATTTATTTGAGAGACAGAGAGAGAACGAGTAGGGGGAGGGGCAGAGGGAGAAGCAGATTCCTCGCCGAGCAAGGAGCCCGATGAGGGACTCGATCCCAGGACCCTGGGATCATGACCTAAGCCGAAGACAGAGCCACCCAGACGCTCCCCTACACTATTATTTTTAACTTCACAGTATAACATTTATAAATGTTTATATTTATAAAAATTTTTTCAAGATATTTTTAGTGGCTACCTAATATTTTATAGTATGGCATCACCATTAATTACCTCTCTATTGTCAGGCCTTTAAATTGTTTTGTTTTGCAATTCTAAATAAAGCTCAATGCACACTTCTGTGCTTAAAGCTTTTTCTGAGTTGGATTTTCTTCCTTTCCCCAATTTTAGAGTACAAAACACTTCTCTTGTTCTGTGTGAGGGGACCCAAAGATCTCAAGGTGACCTTCATCTGAGTCCAGAGGAAGGAGACAAGAGACCCTTTGACAGATCACTGGTTTGGCAGAATGAAGTTGTGAAAACTATGGACATTCCTTCATTATGTCCAAAGGGACTGTATTGATTTCCAGCTACTGGGATGAAAGGATGTCAATTTCACATCACTTACACCTGCGTGGGTAGTTTATTTTTTTTTAGATGTGTTTGCAGTGCTGGTTCTTCTTGTCTGAACACCTCCCCACCCAAGAAGAGGGCTGGGACAAAGTCAGAGCCAGGCTGCAGGACACAAGGGCTGGGCCTGGGCTGGGAATAAGCTGACCGAGGAGGAGGCAGGTGCATGGGATCTGAGAAGGGACAGGGTCAGGCCTGAAAGAGGAAAATCAGTCCTCAGATCCAGGGTGCACAGGAGACCCTATTGGGGTTGAGGCCAGAGCCAGCAGGTGAGAATCTGGGTCTCAGAGGGGACTGCATATTGAGAACACCTGGGGAGCCTCCCTGGAAGATTCTAATGCGCCTGGGGAAGGCTCTGGCACTAGGATTTTTAAAAGAATCTCCCCTCCCACCCCTCAGGTGATTCTCTTGCGGTCAGGTAGGAGAGCCGCTGTCCCCGGGAGCAGGCATACCTGTCCACAACGCTGGCCTGCCTTGCCTTCTCCCCCAACCTTTGGTGGATTCAGCTGGTTCTGGCCAAGTGGCCAAGTGACTATCTGCATTTTCCTTGAAAAATAATTCCGTTCTGGAATCTTCAAGCAATACCTGCTCATAGTAGCACATCATGAAAACAAAGTACAAAGCAGAACACAGATGTTTTACACTTTTTTCCCAGCCACTGATTTACATTGATCCTCTGCGTCTTCAGTCTCTGCAGGTTTTTCAGACTGGACCCTCTTGCTTCTCCTTCTTCAGTGGGACCTGCTCTTCAAGGGGTCATGGTATTCTTCAGATTCACAGCACCTTCCCTTTTGCAGCCGAGATAAGCACCGACGGAGCACTTACGGGCCCTACGGGAGGCCCCGGGGCCCCAGCAATCTCAAGGAGGCCTCAGGAAGCCTTTAGTCCTGGCATGCTGAAGGCCTTCTCCACAGATCCCACGTGCCTTCCTTCCTGTTTCGTGGCTCTTCTTTTTCCCTGGAGATTAGTGTTCCTCTTTGTTATGGCTGAGGTTTCCGACAATTTTCTAGGTTTTCCATGGGATTTAAGGGAAACTGTTACTCCTCCCTTGGCCACTTCCCTGCCTCTTCTCACACAGAGTCCCGAATAAAGTCGCCCTGTCCCCTTTAATCCTTCAGTAAATGAGGACATAGGTCTGCACCCAGCATGGTAAGGTCATGGTGGTGGTGGTGGGGGGGAAGTGGGTCACTCGGAGCCTCAGGTCACTGGCTCCCATCCACCGGACTCCTCCTCCCCCACAGACAGGGCAGCCCTGGGTGTGAGGGGCAGGTCCTGACCCCAGAAGGGTCCTCAGTGGGAAATGTTCAGCCCCGTCACTGGGGTCTCTGGAGAACTGCTGGATGGGCCAGGGGTGCCCACACTTTCCGAGCTAACCTCGGAGGAACTCAGGGTGGCCGGGGGCTGCAGCCGGGGTCGGAAGGAAGAGGTGGGTGTTTGCTGGTATGTGACAGCCCACGGGCTGGGGGATGCTGATGGTCAGTGTGCCTCTTGCAGTCATGACTTGTCCTGAGACACTGGTCACAGCCCCACAACCGTCTTGTAGATGTAGAGCTGGCTGGGTGGGGTTTTGTTTGCCCTTTTTCAACAGAAGGGGCAAATGGTCCCGCTATGCTATGAAAACAGGGCACACGCGGGACGCTCACGGTGCTGAGGGAGGTGTGCGGACGCCAGGGGGAACATCCCACCACCTTGGTAACCCTCTGCCCGCAAAGCTCTGCAGAGGGGTCAACTTGCAACCAACACCCCAGCGGCCCCAGAGTCTCTTCTGGAAGGACACAGGATCTTTACAAGGAGCAGCCCAGGCAAACACCACAGAAAAATAAAGGGCCCAGCGCCAACCCTGTGGACCACAGACCAGTGGCCATGAGCCCCAGGGCTCTACCCTGGAAGGCACCCAGACCTCCCAACTGGGCAGGACTCTTCAGGCCCCAAGGATGGAAAAGGCCAGGGGGAGGCCCTGAGGCTCCACGGGGAGCAAAGCACAGAGTTTCGGTTAAGGCACCAACGTGGACAGAAAGCCCTAAGACGCCTCCCTTCACGGAGACCCAGGCTCCAGCCAAGAGTGACATCAATAGTGCAAAGGTCCCCCGCTGTGGGGGCAGACGAGTGGTTCTGACTGATTAAAGGGAAATGCTGGCTCTGGGTGCTGTAACATCTGCCCAGCACAGCAGGAGGTTCACGGCCTCCCAAACAGCCCAAGTTGGGGAGGCCCAACACATTTGTGCTCCTAACAACGGAGCCTTGGTCCTCTGTATTTCACATAAGCCACCTCTTCTCCCTTCTCCACCCAGCTCCCCGGTACTGGGGCAGGTAGGCTGTTAGGGGCTGCACTGTGTCCCCCAAAATTCATATGATGATGTATTAACTCCCAGTGCCTCAGAATGGGACCATATTTGGAGATAGGGTCTTTCAAGAGGTGGGCCTCCATCCAGTATAACAGGTGTCCTTCTAGGAAGGAGAGACTGCGACAGAGGGGCAGCCAGAGAAAAGACCACAATAGGACACAAGAAGGCCTCCATCTACACGCCAAGCAGAGGGACCTCAAAAAAAACAGCCCTGCCGATACCTTGATCTTGGACTTCTGGCCTCCAGAACAGTGAGGAAACGCATTTCTGTTACATAAGCTGCCCGGTCTGTGGTCTTTTGTGTGTCAGCCTTGGGAAACTCATACAACGGGGGCCAGGGGGTGGGCAGAGGAGGAGGAGGGGGTCCAGGTCAGTCCCCAGCTCCCACCACTTTAGGCCTCGGGAAGCTCACGTTTCTCCACCTTTAGGAAACCCAAAGATCTCATGAGCGCCCGCTTGCCCCAAAGAACCAGTTGTTCAGAAGGGTACCCCAAATTCCCCCAGAACTGAGGATTTTAGAGTAACCCAACATAGAGGTTAGCTTTGGTGTCCAACGAACGCCAGAGACACTCACCTACAGATTGGTCGTTTCTAAACACAAGACAGTTTGGGGAACCCCTGTGGGTGCCCCCAGGTCATACAGCCAACCTCATAATCTCAGGGACTGCCCGTTCAGCAGGGGCTCAAACAGGGAAGGAAAGAACCAGTACTTTCTCCCCTGAGCCGGGCACTCGCCGCCTGGTGGTGACCCCAACACAGAACTGAACCAGAGCCGCCTTTCCTTGAAGAGATGCAGGAGGGACCAGGGTGCGAGGGGAGGGGAGGGGGCAGGGTCACTCTCCCGCCTCTGCCGCAGGGGTGGGGGGACCCACACTCCTTCTCCTGGTGTCCTGAGGCCAGCCCCCGCCCGTGCGCCCTTACCTTCCCGCCTCCTGGCTGGTGCTTCAGGTTTTCGGTGGAGCCGATCTTGGATCTGACATTCTTCAGGTCTGGCATGGGGACGGGGGCGGTCTGCAGGCGGCTCTTGGCTGAAGATGGCGACTTGGGTGGGGTGCGGACCACCGCCACCTTCTTGGGCTCCCGGGTGGGCGGGGTTGGCAGGGACGGGGTGCGGGAGCGGCTGCCAGGGGTGCCCGGGGAGCCGGGACTGCTGTAGCCACTGCGATCCCCAGATTTCCCAGATTCACCTGCAAAGACAGGAGGCAGTGAGGCCAGCGCTTGGGGTGGGTGGGAGGCAGAAAAGGCCCTGGGGGCTGCCTGTCCCGAGGGCCCACTCCCAGACGCAGGGCTGGTGAGGCAGGCAGGAACCGGGTCGGAGGCTCCGCTAAGCCAGCAGGAGGCTGCCCTTGACCTCATTTCTAGAGACATGTCTCTTCTTCCAGGCCCGGTTACTTAGGGACAGAGACTCCCTGTTTCCCAGGGAGGAAACAGAGCAGTCACCAAGGACCGCCTGGTACCCTTTCCCTAGGGGCAACTCTGCCCCACAGCCCCAGGGTCAAGAGACTAGGTCCAGCTAGCTCTGTGGTCTCAGACAAGTCACCTTCCCTCTCAGAGCTTAAGGGCCTCAACTGGAACATGAGAATAACGACAGTGCCCGCAGGGAGGGAGGCCAGGCCCGGATGCGCGTAGATGTGCTCTGAAAGACTCTAGTGCCATCCTATGTGGCTTTTCCCTGAATAAGGGTGACACGGTGACAGGACCAGGGGCCACCCTTGTCTGGATCTATTAGACCCTTTACCCACTGGGTGAATTTTAAGCTCTTCAGCAAGTTCCAGGCCCCTTTCCCCACAGGCCCCTGTGCAGCCTCCCCGACCCCTCTGTGGCATGTGGGCTCCAGAACGGGATGCCTGCTCTCTGCGCACCTGTCCCTAGCTCTCCAGACGAGCCGTGTCCCCTTGTGCCTCCCTGTCCTGCACTCTCCAAGAACTCCCTTCCCCCTACACCGATGCATGGCTGTCCATGCACCTTTCCCAACTGCCAGGAAGGCTGCTGGGGCTGCTCTTTCCCCAACGGACTCAGTCCTGGCTCCTCAGCCTGCTTCCGTCGTGCACTTCCCAGACCCCCGCACACTCCAGTTACTATTCCATGAGCCCCATGAAGCAGTGTTTCTCCAAGTGTGGCCCAGGGACCCCTGCATCAGCATCTCCAGAGCCTTGGGTCAGGCGTGGGACCTGTAAGATGCAGATTCCAGGGCCCATCCAGACCTGGAATGACAGAACCCCCTAGGCTGGGGCCTGTCCTGCTGGTTCCTCCCAAGTTCCCTGGGGGTTCTTGAGCACACCTGAGTCTCAGAGCCATGGGGCTGGGTGCTGTGCCTGGGTGAGGGCCCGGCTCCCCTCGGCTCTGAGGGTGGCTGAGCTCTATTGGTACCTCCAAGCTTCCCAGATACCCTGGTCCCTTCCCCAGGAACCATCTATACCAAACCAGGACCTGCAGGCCCCACCCTGGAGAAGATGGCTCTTGGCTGGAAGCACTGGGCAGCAGTGAAAAGGCAACTTCTCTCGTCAAGGGGCAGAGGAAGCCCCGCCATTTTTAGAGTTTGAATTTCCATGTCTGTTGGACGTTCCTAAGGTCGTCAAGCTCTGGGGCAATAGAACAAACGAAGCTTTTCCTCTTTTTCCACATCGGGAAGCAACAGATGGGGCCTCCGCTCCAGGCTCAGCCCCCCGCTCCCCTGCTCCTGCCTCCAGGTACACAGGCTGACCACTGGACTTGGGGGTGGCTGCAAATCCTTTTTGCGCCACTTAATTGCAGACTGACCTTGGGCAAGCCATTCAACCTCCTAAGCCTGCATCCTTATCTGGAAAGTGGGGAGAGCAGCCACAGCCCATGGGGCTGATTTGAAGGCTGGATGTAGCACCAGGGCAAGTGTCTGGTGCAGGGGTGAGTGCTCACAGGGTGTGTATTTCATAAATGTCAGCGGGAATTTCACACCTCCACCTTGGGCCGAGCCTCCGGCACCCAAAAACAGCTGGAGACTCATGCTTCCTGCCCCCAGAGCCTCGGATGAAGTTCATGAGAACACGCGGGAATCAAAAGGTCCGTCAGACAGACGCATCTGCATGAGCCACAAAAAGAGAAGCAGGAATTCGGACAGTTCTGCGTTCAGGTTCAATGCGTGAAACCCACACCTCAGAAGCAGGTCGTCTCTGCTCTCAAACCTAGGCCAACAAACAGCCACACACGCACCGCAAGTGCCCCACTGGGCAAAGCAGCCCCCGAATTACCTCGCTCGGATTTTGCCCCCGCAGGGGGTGGTTTTCTCTGCACTTGCTTGGTAGCTTAAAAAGAAAAATCCACAGAAAGCCTCATTATTATCAAGCTTAAACAGGGCCTCCATGAGTCTTCATGCTGCAGGCACCAGCCAGGCCACAGGGCAAAGGTGAGCTGGGCAGGGAATGTGTTCAGGGAACAGGGGTCCCCACTGGCAGGACACAGGTCAAGGCGGCCCACTGAGGTCTGTCCACCCGCAAGCTGCCACCCAAACGCAGGGGAGATCCAAAGAGAAAGGCACATTCTCGTTCCCAGCAATGTGAGTTGTGTGAGTCAACTGGCTTAATGCCAAGTGAAGAAAAGCAGGATCAAAATCCTGTACAAAATCCAATCACAATTCTGTGAATTACTCTTATGTCATATGAATTATAGATAGGAAGAAACCATCCAGCGGGCATTCGCGAGCAGAACATCCTTGCAGGCACCACCCCAGGGCAAAGGAGGCAAACATCACTGCAAAAACGTGCAGACAAAGGGCTCTGAGCTGCCACCCCAGGGTCAGCGCACAGCAGAGAGACCCCTGAACCAGTCCGGGCTTCTCGAGGCCTGTACAAGATCCACGGGGCCCTGAGCACCACCCCAAAGCTAAGGCAGGCCAGATGCCCCCTGAGTTGTGCAGAAGCCAAACCTGGTCACCTGGGACAGGGCCCCCGGGGCGGGGGTGGGAGTGGGAGAGAGGAGCTCAGCCTGGCTGTCTCCCATCCCCAAAGAGGGCAACTATTCTTTATAGCACCACTGGGAGCAGATTTGCTCCACGGAAGCCTGCCTGGTACTCAGAACTAACTGGGCTTTACTCACACGAGCGCAGGGATATAGGCGCAGACTGCCGGTGCTCAGCCGAGCCTCTCAGGGCCCGCCAAAGGGCGCACTCCAGCAAGTTCAGCTGAGCGGGGGCCACACCTGGTGTGAGGTCACCTGTAGTGACCCATCCCGGCTGCTGCTCTTTCCAGAGACACAGAGCCGCCATGCGGGGGCCCCGAGGCTTGGCGTCAGAGAAACTCAGAGCATCCCCTTTCTGCCACTTAGTCACGCGGCTGCACGCTCTTCCTGCTTGAAGTGGGCTGCTCAGACTTCTACCTGCACATTCTTAGGGCCTTGATTTTGTCATCGCTCAAAAGTGGGGATTCAATATCTCGGATAATTGTCAAAAATGAGCGCTCAGGTGTTTAGTGAGCTGCAGGTGTCCGTGTGTCCTTCAGCTACGGCAGTGATTAACTGCCAGGGGCCCTCAAAGTTGAGGACGGCCCCTACTGACAGCTGCCCCTGACCTGGATTCCAGAGAACGGTCTTCTTACCCGTGCCCGGTGGGGTCTTTGGGGAGGGCGTGGTTTTCGCTGGAATCCTGGTGGCATTGGCCTGGCCTTTCTGGCCTGAAGGGGCCGCTCCCCGGGGTGTGGCGATCTTCGTTCCGCTTCTACCATCCGCCCCCTGTCAACCGAAGCACGGTACAGTGGTTTTTACGACCGGGAAAGGTGACTCTCACCTAGAGTCCATGCCAGCCCCACTCAACCTCCTTAACTCAAAACGAGGCTAAGATTGGGGTGACTCTTTGCTTGCTAGATGCAACAAGCGTCTTCCACAATCTCAAGGGTTTGCCGGCCGCACAAACCCATAGCTCCACCCAATCGCCAAGCTCCCCGACCACTGTGGGCTCCTGGAGGAACAGTTTACGTGAGTTCTCAGCATGAGTTGTGCTGTTGTGTTTTATCAAAAGGTAACAGAGCTTAGAGTGACGATCAGGCTCATCATCTGCCCAGGGCTGATCGATGGGCAGGACATTCCTGTGTGGACAGCCATTTTCCAACTCTCCACAGGGATTCACCTGACTGCCGGTGGTTGGATTCACCAGAGACTCCCAGGGACACTGATGAACCTGACCGCGGGTGCTAACAGAGCTAGGTCATTCTTCTGTTCTCTCCCAAACAACCCTTAGGTTTCGGTGACTCCTGAGAGGGCTAAGAGCCTTTGGCGGGGTGAACACCAGTGCCAGTTAGCAAACTGGCCAATGGTTAAGAGCCGGTGTGCAAGCCGTCTGCTGACTGGGTGCAGTTATTGGGTTTGACCTTGACACATAACACAAACTCAAAAAAGAAACTGACATTCACCAAAGATCATAGGATGGTTCAAGGGGAGTGGGGGGAGCGTGCCCTTGCGGGACTGGCTCTGGGCGTGGTGCCACATCCAACCCACAAGGGGGCGACCTAGAAGCACTCCCAGTTAGGGTGGTGATTTTCAAACCAGGGCCCCCTCGGGTACTTTAAGGGACAAACGAATGGGGCCGCGGGGGGGTTCTGAGAAAACCAGTGCCACACCCCCCTTGTCCCAGTTCAACCAGAATTTTCACTGTTCTACGTGGTGCTTCTAGGTAAGAGGTTCTCTGAAGGAAGGTCTTTGTGACTAAAAACAGCATCCATTTGAAAACCATACTAGAGCAGCCTGATTCTTTTCAAAGGTGGTTTCCTTACCTTGACTTTCATTTCCTTTGCTCCAGAACTGCCAGTTCGGGGTGTGACAGAAGAGACGTGTTTAGGAGAGGAAGATGACTCTGGGCACACGGCAGGGCTGGAGGGTTTGATCAAAGGGTCTGAGCTACCAGGAGTGGGGCGTTTAGGGCTAAGGCAAGGCCTAGTTTTCAGGGTTTTAGCAGAGGAAGGTGTGGATGTCTTAAACATAAACATAAATAAAATCAAAATAAAAGTCAGCACATGGGGGAGGGGAACAAACTGAAAAAGGAGAGTAACTAAAAATAAACAAGGCAGGCAATGGTTTAAAGCAGTGATCTCCAAACTGTCTGGATTGTGTACCCTTATCCGTCCTTCTCATCCCCTAAGGACTGAAAGTGGCCACACACTCTAACGTCCTTGTAGTTATTTATCAGTTAAATACATATACTACGATGCCAACATATGATGTACATTATAAAACTTACTTTTGATAGCATTTTTAAAAGAGAAGAGAAAAAAAATGGATAGAAGTTCTAGAATGTTCTTTAGCCCATTGGATCTTCTTGTGCTGCACACCCTGCCACTTTGGAGACCACTGGTTTAAAGGTGTTTCATGCCCAAAGAGTTCATGGAGATCGCCAAAGCATATGATTCTTAGGATGTTTTCCAAGAAAACATCCCCAGTGTGTCATGGGTCATCCCCAATGTGTCATGGGTCAGCAGGGCCCCACTTTCCACTAAATTCCAGGTGAGGAGCTCATGCTGGCCTGCTAACCCTAGGCCTTCTTCCGCCACATTGAGAGTATCACACTTGCTAACATCAGGATTGTGCCTATCCCAAGTCTTAAAGATTCTGCCTTATACCTCAGGATTTATGTGCACACGCATGCGCACGTGCAACACATACACACACACTTTCTGATTAAAGTCTCAAACAAAACTAACTTTCACGCTATCTGGTAAATCCTAACCTGGCCCGTGTTCACTTTTGAACACATTCTACCTAAGGAAAGAGTCTGGATGAGCCCGACAAGAGGCCGTGGGGCTGGACGACCTCACAGACGGAGCTGCCCCTGCGAGGAGAGGGAAACTGATGGACAGTGGTTAGCACCCATGGTTTGTCCTAACTGGCTCTGGGGGACTTTGACCAGGAAGCATGGCCCTGGTGGAGGAGGTGAGCTGGGAGGAGGAGGAGGAGGGGTCACACCTTCAGGCATAAAACTGAGAGGCCTAGTCCAGAGGTGTTTCCAAGAGGGAGTCAGAGCTACCAAACAAGGACCTTGGCTTTGTTTCCTCGTTGCCCTCGGATCCTCCACCAAAATGGCAGAGGCCCTGTGTGTGGCCAGCCTTGGCGAGGAGGAGGGCCCAAGGTGCGGGGAAAGGTGTGAGGGGACAGACACAGGCTGAGGTCCTGGAACTGGTGATAAGAAAAGTTGGGGGTGGGTACTCCTCCTTCCCCCGCTGCACAAGGCCCCCTTCTGCCGGAGGCACTCCCTACCCGGCCCAGGTTCATGCAAGATCCAACCCCTCGCTGTCCAGGGCAGGGATGTTGTTCCCACGTGTGCAAATGAATGAATGAAAGGAATACATGCATGCACGAGGCTGGGATTCCCCTGATGTGCATCCCGACTGGCTAGCAGCTCTTGCTACGGCTTCGCGCCTCTAAGGCAGAGCCCCCCAAGTCCCCGCAGGACCCTCAGCTCCTCACCAGGGTTGTGATGGCAAACCCTGACCCCCTAGAGGGAGGCACAGCACATGCTACCCATCTCCTAGAGCTACCCTCTGCTTCTGAGGACCCCACCAGGGCTCTGGGATGGGTGAAGACCCAGATGTTTCAGGCAGAATTTATACTGGAAATTTTAGGTGCCTTTACAAAAAATAGGGCTTCATCTAGGGCCTCAGTGGGATTTTCCTGGGGAAACTCTACTGTGCAGTTACGGGGGAATTTTCCAGGATGCAAAGTCATTAAGGGGGGAAACTACAGCTGACAGGAAGCACTGAGAAAACCAGCATGGTTCTGGATGCACTTTCGGTGGGAGCAGGTGCTTCATTCACTGCTCCTCAGGTTGGTTTTTGAAGTCTGACTAAAGCTTGTGTTGAACTGGCGCCTTGGCAAGATTTCAAGATGGCGTCTACTGCACAGCTTACGTCCCACCATACGTCAGCCCCACTCAGAGCTCTGCAGCAACCAACCCACCTGCCTAGAATTCTCAGAACACGCATCATCTCTTCATGCTTCTGGGCTTTGCTGTGCTGTTCCTACTCCTCAGAATGCTGTTCCCATCCCTGCCTCAGCAACCCTCCCTTATATTTCCTTCCCTGTCCGGCTCATAGATCCCCTCTTCTAGGGCTTATCCAGAACCCTCCACCTTAGGTTAGAGGTCACTTCCTTGATCATTGCTCCCTCGGCCACCTGAATAAACGGTATTTTCTCTACACCTTAAGTATGTGTGTGTACATATACGCTCACTGAGCCTGGATCTGCAGTGGGAAGTGTAAGATGTGCGAAATTCAAACTTTATTGCAGAAAATTCAAGTGTATCTTTGTTTGCTACAAACATCTCATTTCAACTATGCTCACGGAATTGCAATTAGGAGCATGAATTCATTCACCTGCTGACCGCCCTTCCCAGGCATAAGCATCAAAGTGGATAAATGCTGGAATTTTAACTGTTTGCATAAAAATACAAAGCACTTTTTAAATGACAATCATCCTTCAGTGACAGACGTTCCCCACATTACATAAAAAAAATCCAGATAAGCATGGCTTCTTGATAAACTTGACGTCAGCAGAGGTTCGCAGTTTTATCAGCTTACCTTGGCTTTTTTGTCCTCGGGTCCAGCCCCATCTTTGCCTTTACTGACCATGCGAGCTGATAAGATATAAAATGAGAATGTATGTTACACCCAATTGCAGAGCTCCTGGAAAAAGCTGGATACAGTTGCGCTGATTTCTTGGGATCCGTACAATGTGTTCTGTTCAGCTGGGCTGGGTGGAAATCCAGTGGATTTTCTTTCCCCTTGAATCTGTCTCTCGTTGTTAGTATCAACACAGCACACTGGGGTCATTGCTTGGTGCACCCTGACAAGAGGGGGCAGCAGGCTGGCTGAGGGTGGGGACATGCAGAGGGGGCTCGGTGAAAACTCTTCCAGGCATACGCGGGCGACAGGGGCGATCAGGGAAGGTAGACAGTGCAGACCCCATCTCTCATAGGCTCCTTCCCTGTCTCTGCCAGGGTCAGCCTCTCCCAGCGGGGACCGACCCCACTCCAAGGAAGGGCATTTGGAGGCCCTCGGGCCATAGACGGAGCAGCTCAGCTATGCTCCGACTCCCTGCGGGACCTCCGACCCCGTGCGGGACCTCCGGACTCACGCTGTCACCCAGAGCTTGCCCCTCGCTAATGAGGGCTACGGTCGCCAGCCCCAGCTGCCCTGCCCTCCGACAAGCCCGGTCCACCCCTGACCCAACTGGGAAGGGTCTTCTCGCCGCCTACGGGCCCTCCCAAGGGGACTAATCCTTGCCATTTCCCCAACTTAGCTACAGACTAGTTACCACCAAACATTTTACAGTGTCTTGAGTTTAGGACCAAACTGCAGGCGGCTTTTGTGTGTAGAAAGCCACGCCCCCTGGTGAAACCACGTGTCTACCAGCATCCTCTCTAACTCATCCCTCCCTTTTGTTGACATTCTTTGCTGAAAATTGATGATAGATTTTCGTCCTTGGTTTCAATATCGTATTCCCCCTGCTGAAAAGTCAGTGGGGACAACTGGAGCTTCCCACTGGATTTCTAGAGTGGCCTGGATTGATGATCCAGCCCAGAGACCGTCACACATTACTGCTCGGGAGACGGGTTGATAAAACACAGATTCCTGGGCTCACGCGAGACTCGGTAAGCTCAAGGTGGGGCCTATGAATATGCATTTTAATAAAAGCCCCAGGTGGAACTGATTCATGCTTTTGCCCAAATCAACCTGATTATCACCATCCGTGTCACAACAGAAGCATCTGCTAGATCCACATTTCCCAAACTGGGTCCTACTGCACAAGTCCTCTTCCAGGAGATGTTAGCAGGTCAGAGCAAGTAAATTTGGGAAATCCATACTCTGTGTCTTTCTCAGAGGGTCATAATGTGCATTAGAATATTAAAGGCTCTGACAAGTCCTGCTGCAACAAACCTTGCTTAACTTTGCTTCATCTGTTTTTTCCAAACTTATTGGATCACAGAGCTCCTTTTCCCCTGGACACATCTATTAATAGGCAGTATTCAATAAAACACCGTTTCAGGAAACACTATTATAATTGGCCAAGTCACAGTCTTTTGTCCCCTACTATTTTGGAATCTAGGATATTTTAAAATAGGATAATATAGGAATTTTGAGGGGTCTTAAATTTCAATACAAGTTCCCTTATGTACAACATTTCAAAGTTCTCTTGACAAGTAAAATCTAATAAAATCTAACAGATGTTTGCAACTGACAGCTCAAGTAACGGATTTCTGAGCCCTGTGAATAATTCCAACACACTAGATGTCCTAAATGTATGAATGCACCTGATTAGTAACCATGAAGTCTCCACTGGCCTCCTTGTCTTCCTGACAGACATGCCAACACGGGGGAACCTCCCCTACCACCTCTCCGGCTCCCGAAGGGCTGCTGTGCTGGAAGCAGGCTGGGGCTGAGGCCCCTGCAACCTCAGCACAGGGGTTCCCAGGCTGCCGCAAGGGAGGAAGAGAAGATTCAGACAGGAACATTTTGTTTGTGCTCATTGTCTCCCCTGCCACAAAGCAGGGTGGGTAAGGGTGGGGGCTGTTGGGCCAAAGACTCAGCTTGGGCTCTGGGCTACCCCCAAATGCTCATGTATGTGTCACCTGCTACATGTGATGTGTTGTCCACTGACAAGAGCAGCAGAAGACAGGCTCATGCCCTCTGTGTCTCTGGGCTTGGAGGGCACACTTCAGAACCTTCCAGAAGGCACTGTGCTGAACAGGGAAGAGCTTGACTTTCAGCGCAGACCCACCTGGATTCTGAACGCCGCTCTGTCACTTACTACTTGGTGACCTTCAGCGAGTTACGTTACCTCTCTGAGCCTGCTTCCTCATGTGCCAAGTGGGGCTAATTATGCCCTCTTGGAAGTGTTGGGAGGGTTCTAGACGATGAATTTAGGGCACATAATCAGCCCTCCACAGTGGACCAGCTGTTACTTGCTCTGCAGAGGGTGGCACACCAGCCACCTGTGGGCTGATGGACCGTTGTGGGTCATCGGGGTCCAGAGAAGTGGACAGGGTGGAAAGCACTGGGTGGGCTGGAGGTCACATGCAGCATGGCGGGCAAGCGTGAGAGGAGTGCGTGCTGCCAAAGCCCGAGGGGCAGGAGGCGGCTGTGGGAGGGTGAGCGGCCGTGCCCAGGGGGCCGGTTTAGTGACCCTCCCTAGGAACCTCGGAAGCAGCGGGAGTCAAGGAGGGGCCGGAAGCTCAGTGGCAGTGCCCGCAGCCTGGGTGCCACACGAGGTCGCCAGGAAGGAGCCAAGGAGCTCAAAACACAGACCTTTGAGTTGAGGGACCCGGCTGACGGGCTTCCCTGGCAGAACGGTGGCAGGCTGCTTTTCAGAAGGTTCTGGAAGGTCAGTCTTTTTTGTATCCTCTCCCTCAGAAGGGCCCTGGGACTCTCGCTCCTCTCCAGGGGGCCCTGGGAGGGCAGCCCCGTCCAAATCCAGCTCTGAATGTCCCTGTTCCTTCTGCACGTTGGCTTTGATTTCCACCTGGAAGGTGAACTCGGGGGGCGTGTCCTGCCCTTCCACCGAGGGCCCTACGCTGGGCCCGTGGGTCTGTGAGGCCTGGATCTCTGTGGAGACGTTGGAGAGGAAATCGACAGGGAGGCGGATGGCACCTTCAGCTGGGAAACCAGGGAAGCCGGTGGTTCCTCTGGAAACTGTGGGGGGCGGTGGCCCGCCTCGGGGCGGGGAGCTCTGCAGACCCGGGGAGACCTGGGAGGGAGGGGAGTCCTGGGGCAAGGACTCGTCCACATCGCGGTCTTCGTCGACTTCCTTGCCCCCCCACCGCTCTTTGCCACGGTCCCCCTTCAGAGGTGGCCAATCCTGGCGCAGGTCTCCCAAAAGCTGGTGCTCCAGTGGCTCCAAGCCATGGCGACTGCCCTCTGTGTCCTCAGGTTCTGTCCCCGCAGGCTGGCATGTGGCCTCCCTGGGGCTGTCAGCCTCAATGGGAGCCCCCGGCGTGTAGGACCCACGCTGGCCTGTCAGACCCAGGGTGCCCGGGTCTGTGGTCTCACCTCGATGGTGCCCTGGCTCTCCGAGTAGGCTCTCCTGGACAGCCTTGACACTCCCAGGCTCCATCTGGAGACTTCCAGGGGAGGTGGGCTTCGGAAAGGCCAGACCCCCCTTGACCCCATCCCCTGGTTTTGGTCCCCACTCCTGGTGGGGCTCCTGAGGGCCTTCTGTTGGAGAAGGTGGTTCGCAGATGGGGTGACGCTGGGAATGGCAGGAGACCACCAGTGCAGCGGCCTCTGGCCGCTTCTCCCCCAGAGGCAGCACGGAGACCCCAGAAGCTTCTCTGCCGTATTCAGGCTGATCCTGAGAGCTAAGCCCGTTGACCGGGGGCCTCTCAGGTACCTCCCTCTGCTGGCCTGGAACTCTCAACTCCTCTGGGTTTGAAGAGGCAGCGGTGGCAAAAGGTTGGCAAGGACGCAATAATTGTTTAAGAGAGAGAACGCACTCTTGAAATAAGAAAAGGACATTTAAACAGCACCACAAGCCCAACTAACAAAGAAAAAGGAGCATGTGCTCTGGGCTCATCCTTGTTGCTTTCTGTTGCTCAGAATGAAAGCTCTGTTGGTCTACCTAACACCAACTCACTGGGTGACGCCGGGTGGGCAGGCATCTCCCCTCTCTGGGCCTCAGTTTCCTCATCTGTAAAACAGGTACTCAGACCTGTTGAACTCCAAGGCCCCGTTCAGCGCCAGCGTTATTCCTCTGCCTCTCACGGGCTCTGGGTGGGTTCAGAGCATGTCAGCACCTCCAGGGCTGCTAACCCCGCTCTGGGGCTGCCTTGTGCTGAATCTACTAGGCTACAGAAGCTTCTTCTTCTCTCCAGGGACACTGAGCTTCCTGAAGATTCTGGCCTCTAGATAGGACCTGGCTTGGGTGCAGTGAGGATACCATTTTCTCTCCCTCTCTCTGTTTCCCCTTTCTGCAAAATGAAACCAGCAGGTGCCCATAAACCAACCCCGCCTTACGATTTGGAAAATGCCTAAATTCATCACCACCAGGGCTCATGTCTTTACTAACAGACCTGCCACAAGGTTCCTATAAACAGAAGCATGATTCAGATTTATCCGGGTCATGGATCACGGACGGGCCTTTTGCATAAGGCAAGGCAGACCACTGTGGCGGGAAAGGACTCTGCGTGGCAAAGACATTGCCTGCCAACAAGACCACTGTTTTCAGCCCGTCCCACAACTAGCAGTTGGTGGAGGGCACACTTCATTCTTTCTGGCTCGTTCATGCAGCATTCATGTGAGCCCTCCTTAAAGCACCTGACCATGTATTAAGGATAGGAGAGTCACACTCTCTGGTACTCCTAACCAACACCCTTTGTTTTTGTTTTTTTTAATTCCCAACCTTCACACCTCGCATCTAGTCCCTGCAGAACAACCCACACAACTCCACCCTAGGACCCCAAAGATTCAGGGTATTGGAGGAGCTGAGGGGAGGGAGGTGGGAAATGCACGTGTGCACACAGTCGTGTGGCCATGGACATACCTCTCACATGACCGCCCTCTCTCCCCATCCAGGCAGAGTCCGTGCAGACGCCAGCAGGCTCACTACCAAGAAGCCAGTCACAGCTCACCTCCACCCCCACACTTACACCAGGGCCTCGAGCTCACCATCTCCCTCATTTAGTGTTCCTAGAATCAGTCACGGGCCTGCCCCCCAGCGATGATCAATAAAGGAATCTTGCATGGATGAACTGGTATCAGAAAGATATGCTCGTTTCTACTTTCTGCAGGGTCTACGGGCACCTTACTGGGGCCGTCGGTCAGTCTCCGGGAAGAACAGCCCGAACAAGAGACAATCTGAGCAATTGCCTCAACGCTGTGATGCCTCATCAACCAACCAGCTCGACAGACCGGAGGCCGCGTGCCGTAGGTGCTAGTCTTTACACCTCCTTGACAGGCCAGGTCTCCCTGCCTTCTGGAAAAAGCTTTCCTCGCAGAGCTTCCTAGAAATTGCTCATGGTCAGGATGTGACCGTATTGATATACCATAAGACCATAAATGACCCTCATGAAAAAAGAGACAAAGGTCCCAAACATAAATAGTAAACACACCTTAAAAAGTCATCAATATTTGCTTGTACAGTGTGTGTGTGTTTGACTGAACCTAACATCATGCATATACTTCTGGAGGAAGGCGCCAGGCTGGGAGAATAGTCTACTCAGTTCCTAGAACACTATGAAGTGCTCCATAAGTAGTAAACATGGCAATCATCTGGGGGTGAGAGGGTAGGGGGGCGGTCCAAGGGAAGCGATATCTGGGCAACATGTGTGAAGACCTCTGGACTCGGGATAAACTAGTCCCCTCACATCGCCCTCAGGAGGCCTGGTGCTCGTGACACAGACGAAAGGTCTACCCCCGGTGTGAGCAGGACACAGGTAAGGCCTTCCCACACCTGACACTCAGTTCACCGCAAGCCATCTTGAAACATCCTCATCTACCTTAGGGGAACTTCATGAACACAGGCTGCCAGAGGTTTGCCTTCTGCTGCAGAAACTGCAAGAAGATCTAGTAACGGGGCTTTTGTTACATGGCTTTTCCTAAATCTGAAAACAGATGATAGGCCTTATCATAAGATGTGTTTGTGGATCATGAGTGTGTCCGAGCCTCGCACAGGTTCACCAGAGGGAAGTGGCCTTGTCAGTGTGGACCAGCAATCCCCATCAAGACATGAAGTGTTCATCTTGGGAGTGGTGGTAGAAACCTCCATGTTTTCACAGATTTGGTGCCCACTTCCCGTGACAAATGTCGATCTGGTGTTCATCTTTATATCTACAAGATTCTAGGCCACTGATGACAAAAATGGAAAAATTCAGTGAGCACAGAAAAAAGTTCCCACAAAAGATGTTGGCCTGATCTTTTCATTACATGGAATATGTCACAGGGGCATGAAGACATAGCCTACAGTAAAAATGTGTAGGAAGGGGCGCCTGGGGGGCTCAGTTGGTTAAGTGTCTGTGTTCGGCTCAGGTCACGATCCCAGAGTCCTGGGATGGAGCCCCGCATCAGGCTCCCTGCTCAGCAGGGGCCTGCTTCTCCCTCTCCCTCTGCCTGCCACTCGCCCTGCTTGTGCTCTGTCAAATAAATAAATAAAATCTTCAAAAAAAATTCGTAGGAAAAAACCCAAATCCACTTCCTTCTATGGAAATAAATGATCATTTCCAGAGGTTATAAAAGCCTCTAATTTTACCTAAGTCAAAAACCATGACCTAAAAGAAACAGGAGGTGTGGTTCTCATTATGTAATGCACAGGCTGGGGTTCCCCCTTATATTGATTATCCCTTCTAATACTTTTTGAAGCTCTTTGTAAGCCTAAGAATGAAAACACACCTCTCCATGCCATGTGAGTTGAGAACGTTAGCCGGCTATGGGGCACTGACCCCTCTCACATGTAGTTAAGCTTCAAAATACCCTCAGCGATACACTTCTTTGGGCCCAGAGTCCTCCTCAAGCCAGCTGGTCCCAGCGGCAGCACTAAATGTTGGATTTAGTGGGATTTCCACATCACTTTCTAGAGAAAAGAACAGGGTCTTCCTAGCTCTTTGGCAATCTAGAAACCTCCACGTGATACAGTAGACTCTCAAGTTCATTGATGCAGCGAGTGATAGAAAATGAACCTAGAGGTCTCCATTTATATCAGAGGTCTCCATTTCCTGAGATAAGGAATCTTTAGGATTTATAAAATTAAGTTCTTTTTTTTTAAAGATGTTATTTATTTATTTGAGAGAGAGAGAATGAGAGAGAGAGAGCACGAGAGGGAAGAGGGTCAGAGGGAGAAGCAGACTCCCTGCCGAGCAGGGAGCCCGATGCGGGACTCGATCCCAGGACTCCAGAATCATGACCTGAGCCGAAGGCAGTCGCTTAACCAACTGAGCCACCCAGGCGCCCTATAAAATTAAGTTCTTAAAACACTTGTGCTAAATGATTATAGAAAGCTGGTTTCCTTGAACACGGAAGTTTGGGTCCCTGAGAAGAGTATCACAATAAGGTCTGAAGGTTGCATAGGAGAAAGTTGAAAAGAATTTGCTTGGTGGGGATATGGCTGAGGCCCTGCTCCAGGGACAGGCCAGAAGGCAGCCTGCAGAGGAAATCACCTATCATGTATCTCTGTGTTTCTGTTGGAACATTCTTTCTTGACTCCCCCACTAAACAGCTTAGGAATTAGGGGGGACAAAAGGGACCAGAGCTCTTTCTGTATCCAAATAGCCCAACCGCGATGAGAGCCAACTCCTAGAAATCTCCTGGCCCTGTGAACTAGGGCCCAGGTACAAATTGTCTTTACAGGGTAGAGCCCCCCTGAGTGTTTCCATCTCCCTCCTCCCAACCCCCAAGTCATGGTCGGCAATTCTAGCCCACTGACCTTGAGTCACGTGTCCAGCAGCTTGGTCTTCCAGGTTGGGGGTGTCTCCAATGCCTGCTTCCTCAGCTGGTTTATGGTTAGCAAATGAAGAAGATATAAGCAAAGACAGTTACTGTTTGCCAGAAACAAAGCTCTTTGCATTTTCCAGTATTTTTCCAAGAATATTCAGGAAAGGCACATCTTACGAGTACCAAGGGGCTGCGCCTCTGGCTCTTTGCAAATATTATTGCTGGGGATGTGGATGAAAGCAGGTTATTAAGTGAACCCCACCACACCCACATACCTTCCATGTGAACATGAACTTGTAGGAAAGACCTTCTCCACAGTGGGCCCAGGGTCCAGAGCACCCCACTCAAGAGAGACACGCAGGATGGGTGAGGTCAGAGAGGCAGTTTGCTGCTCAGCCACTGACACTGGAACCATGTCTGAGCGGCAGGTGCACTCCCGGCCCCAGCCAGGAATCTGGGGGCACCAAGGGTACAAGGAAGCACTAGTTGTCTAGGGCTGTTGAGTCAGGCTGGGGTTCACAACCAGGCACCACCATGTACTTAACCTCTCTGAGCCTGTTTGCTCATCTAGACCCCCAGGTGATGATGACGGCTTGTCTCGTACAACAGTAGTGACAGTTAATATGAGAATTTGTGTGACTGTGTTTAGCTAAGTGCCCGGAGTATGGGAGGTGCCCCAAAGCTGTTCGGTTTCTTGTCTCCAGACTACTGGGCAAACCCCTCTAACCACATGCTAGGAGTAGGTGTCACCTGGTTAGAGGGAGGGCAGTGGTGCCAGTGACCAACATCTAGGGCATCTTGGGCTCCTGCTCAGGGAGGAGGGAGCCACCGGTCACCCCAAATGAAGAAGACCACATCTTCAACAGCACCAAAATCAGTAAGCTTTACTGCAACGCCAATTTCTGCACCATGAAGAACCAGGACATTACTCCGGACAATGGATACAACTGTCCAGAAGAAAGAGTCTATAAAGCAAGTTGGCCACTCGTTGATGCACATTTGCCTCATGACCCCAGAAGAACCATCCTGCCCCGATGGACAGTGACAGAGGAGACACCACCCCGAAGAAATGCCTACAAGTTGCTGGCTGGGCCACCAGTCTTTTCTCCCAGTCCTGCGATGTTTGAGATTTTACACCTACAAGAGAAATGCCAAGTGACCAGCATGGGCCCCCCATGGAAAGTGTGGATGAGGGAAAAGAAAGATTCTTGGGGTTGCAGGAGAGCTGCACGGTGGCCTTATAAACACCTAGACCATGGGCTGTCCCAGAACAGCTGCAGTGAGGGTGGGAGGGGGCCGGCAGTGGGCTCCCCATCGGCCAGATCATAAACACGACCACCCTCTGGGGCCCCACCAGCTGACACTGTGCCACCCACGAGGTCCAATGGTGATAGGTCCGTGTCATCTGACAACAGCCAACTGTCCAAGAGACGCAGCTCCAAGCACAGATTTGGTCTGAGTTTCTGATGAGGCTGTGGTAGAAAGGCTCGGAGTGACAGCAAGTCCAGCTGAGTGGCACAGAGTCCTGGAGACTGAGAACAGGAGGGGACACGTGGGGATGTCACCACTGCTAGAGTGCTGGGAAGTCACTGCACTCACAGGCCAGTGCAGGGTTGAATATCTTGGCCCTGGCGCGTGTCAGAAATTGAAGGTTGCTGATAAGTCCAATGCCCCCTCCCCAGTTCCCAGCAAGGGGGTGCTGCTCAGAGAAGCCAAAGGGGACAGAGCAGGTGTATGACTGTGGCCGGGCCATCATGTTACTACGTGGCCTCTCTCTATCCCTGAAACCCCCAGAAGCAGGGGCTCCCATCCCAGCAAGGCAGGGATTCCTGCAGTGGGGTGACCATACTGCACCCCCAAATGGACCTCAAAGGAGAAGTTTCATCAGCGCACCAAGATACAGCAACTGTGACACGCCAAAGCAAGGACTAAACTAGGGTACACGTTGTCCAAGACAATAGCTGGAAAAAAGTCCCCCAATTCTGAAACCTCCCTACCTCATTGAGGATGTAGAGGGTGGAGAGGGGGGCTTGGAGTGTGGAGGACAACTACGTGGCCACCTTTCATCTCAGTCCCATTGCAAGGGTTTAAAGACACCACCTGGAGACACTCGGTGTGTGTCCCCTCTGGTTAGCAACATGGCTGCGACTGCTATCAGAATCCCACCAGGGAAAACCAGGAGAGATGGGCTGGCCCTGCTTTGGGGGCAGAGGGAAGGGGTGTGGCTGCAACCCATGCGGTCAGTCTACACACCCCAAGTTTGCTTGGGTAAAGAATGCCCGTGTGTCTCCCACAGACCTGATACGGGCCCAGGGCGGCAGTCGTGTGGAGATGTCTTGGACAACGGCTGATAGGCCACCAACAGAAGCCAGCCAACCTCAGCACAAGTAAGGCTGGAGGTGGATCTTCAGATTCCAAGGGGCCGAGGAGAGTGAAGTGTCTGCTGGAAGCCAGTGCAGGGGGAGGGACCTGCGGGGTGATAACTGGGATCGAGGGGCTTGAAGAGCTCCAAACAGGTGCTCACGAGAGAAAGAGTCAACTTTAAACACGGCAGAGCGTGTGAAGCTGTCTCACAGTAGTGCCAATCCAGGATGAATTTTCCTGCCTCTGGTCTCCCCTGCCTCCCCAGCTCCAGAGGGGAGGGCTGTAATCCCGAATGAGCTTGGGCTACTGCAACGAACCGGACATGCTACCCAGCACTCAAAGACTGTGTTTTGCGACTGAGGAGACCTCAGTACATTTGGTTACCTAGAAGTGATGATGAAGTCAAGAACAGGTTACAGTTTTCACCCTGGGAGGGCAAGGGCTCCCCCACTGAGTAAGCTGTATTGGGATGGGGGAGACAAAAATCAGGTTATCCAAGATCTCATCCCATGAGTCATTCCACAGCCTTCAAACGACCTTCACTGTCAGGATGAGGCGCAGCCTCTCTCCATTTCAAAAGACCAACTCACAAAGCAGAAACTACTTTGATGAGTGGCGGGGGGTGGTTTGCTGCTGGACTTCTCTGTGGGTGTTCTCCACAAATGGAGCCCTGGAAAAAGGCTGCAGTTTCCCAAATGGCTGCCGTGAGCACCGTCTGTGGGAAGGAATGAAGATTCCTGTCTGGGGATGTTTCCCCCATTCTCCATTGCTGGTGAAATCTTGTCCAGAACTCTTCTGCCTGTCTTGTTGAGCACCCTCCAAATCACCATGCCAACAGCTGAATCTTTACATAAGCCCAAAGAGGAGGACAAGAAGGGGATGAAAGCAAGCTCTCTGGGCTGAGCTTGCCATTTCCTAAGGGCATGGGTAGCTCTGAGGGCCCCTCGTGGCCCTGAGGTCACCACTATTTCTGGTCGGTGCCCTGACTGAGCTACTTCCATCATCTGTGTTGACCGGGCAGTCTGGTCATGCCTGTTCTATGCAAACATGTTTGAAGCAACGGTCCTAGAAATGGATGCTAGATCACATTGCTGAACTCCTTAGGGGCTGTCCCATTAAGATCCTCCAAAGGTGTGGGTTAGTCATCTGGACCTGCCACATGCTAGGGTGTCCCTGGGGGTAAACTACCCACTAGGAGGTGACTCTGTCACTGGGCAGAGTCCCAGCAGGAGAGGGGACTGAGCTTGGGTGTAAAGAAGGCAGAATCTGCCGCCGGCCTGCCTCAGAGGACCCAGCAGAGAGCTCTGAGCTGACATGCTAGCTGAGACGGGAGAAGAGAAGCTGGAAGGATTCCAGAAGGTCCTCTATCCTCCAAGAGGCTGGCAGGCAGCCACGGAAGCAACAGGGCATCAAGGCACCAAACTTGGAATGACCAAATATTCCCAGGACCCAGCGTCCACCCACGTGGCTGCCTTGCTCGGGGAGAGCATCACCCCTATTCACACCCCACTCCTCTACGTAGGGCAGCCGGGCACCCGGCAAGGGTCTCTTCCACCCCGCCATGGGAGTGACCCTCACCTGTGGCTCCTTCTGGGATCTCCGTGTGGGGCTGAGCGGCCGCCTGCTCTCCGGGGGCTCCCTCATCCACTAAGGGCGCTGTCACGTCTGAAAACCGAGAGTCGCCTTAGGGGGGCTAGGATGAGCCAGGCCAAGCCCCTCACCTTACTTCTAGTGTAGGAGCAGGCACGGGCAGGGAGGCAGGAGGGGACTCAGCGGCATGCAAAAAGCAACACCACAAAGCAGGGCCCAGAGCCATGCTCTTGCCTGATGTCTCTGCAGGAAGCACATTCATATCCTGCTTGGTGGCACCGGCTCATGAGACGCCCAGGCCATCTGCTGGGGACAGCCCCCATGTCAACACTGCAGCAAAAGAGACTGCTGGGTGTGGGCCCAGGTGCTTTTAAAGAAGAAATGTTGAAAATCAGATCATCTCTGTGAGGCTTTGAGCAAGACCTTTGTTCTCTGGGTCTCAGTTTCCTCATCTGCGAAATGAGAGTATCACTGCCAGGTGACCAGCAAGTGCTCTCCCAACTCCAAGCCCCCTGTTCCCTGAGCCCATGACTGATGGTTGGAAGTACAGACTCCCCTGGGGGGCAACGAACAGGCTGGTCCTGTCCAGAATTGGGTGCTTGACAACAGGCCTACAGATGGTCCACCTTCAGAGCAGAGGCCAGAGGTAAAAACCCACCACCAGGAATGGCTGTCAGCCTCTCATCAGGGTGAACCCTTCCAAATCAGCAGTCCTCCCCGAGCACTGCCCTGGCACACTCCCAGGCTCTTCCAGGCAGACATAAGGAGTTGTCAGCTTTGAAAGCTTTCCAAGAGTCTGAGTCAGTTTAGTCAAATGGAACCCATTTTAATTATGGTCGTCTCGGGAGCAGGCTGAGCAGCCTGGCAAAGCCCACCCCCAGCAGGGCCCCCTTCCTCATAGGGCTGGAGTGGAAGCTCTTGGGGCTCACACATGTACAGGATCCAGAGTGCAGCAAGACTTGGCTGGAAGATTCTTCCAGAATAATGTTGATGGGAGCACTGAAAACCTTGATTTGGGAGGCTGCCATGAAGTCTGGCGTTAGGCTCTGAGGATCTTCACAGGGCGGTAGCAACTTGCAAAACTGTCCTAACAAGATCAGTGGGAAATGTCTTGCATCACCAGCTCTAAGAAGAGCAAAGAGCACTAGGCCTTGGTATTCTCCTCACTAGGCTGAGTACCACAGGGGAAGGGCCACGCCCACTTTCTCCCCCATAGACGCACCCTTATGCCAAGCAACTGGCAGGCACTTGACAGTCGCTTTGTGAATTCATTCAAAAGTGGACACTTGTGGAGATGCTGGGCCAGGTTCTCATCCTGTGACAGCCTCCAAAGTCATGGGCAGGGCCAGGAGAAGTGCTAAGAAGCCTCCTGGGGGATGGATGGAAAGATGGAAGGGCAGATACCACAGACTGGTTACTCACAAGCCATCCCCAATGCCCCTCTCCCTTGATTTCTCTGACTAATGAGTCGGAAAGCAAAATGTTCCATGTTCCAGCCTCCCGCTTGCAGCCAGGGAGGCCATGAGACTCAGCTCTGGCCACTGAGACGTAAGTGGGAATCAGCTAGCTGGGGCTTGTTGGAAAACTCTTGCTTTCCTAATAAAAAGGAAACACATTTGGTTTCAGGGCCCTTTTGGCCACTTTGTTCTTGCTCTGAAAGCAGATGTGATGCTTGGAAGTGCCACAGCCATCTTGTCACCATGAAGCAACAATCCAACTATTCAGGATGGCAGCAGATAAAGACAGAAGAGCGCTGATGACCCTGGGGACCTGCTGCCCTCCAGACATCTTATTATGTGAGACACAGAAACCTCTTCATACATATGCCGCAGCCAGTTGTGTTTTCCATGATCTGAAATCAAATGCAGTCTCAACAGACATAGATGGGAAGAGCTGGTAGTCAAAATCGGGACCAAGGAGCTCTTCAGGAAATACATGAGGAGCTTTATAATAACCTAGACACCAAACGTCTAGAGAGGACAGGTTAGGAGATGTGCTGGAATGAACAGCCTGGCCAAGGTCCAGAGGCCCAGACCAAGCCTAGGGCCCAAGAAATGAAGGATACTAAACCAGACCAGTCCCAACATGTGAGCTTGGAGATGTGCACTGAGCCGGCCCCTTCCACAGCCCAAAGGCTGCTCTGGGGCCTCTGACTCCTGAGAGAAGAGCAAGGTGGGTGGGGGCTTCTGAAGGAGTGTGGGGAGGACGATCGACACGGAGCAGGGGCTTTGTGGAGCCGTGCTCAGGCCCCACTTTGCCACAGATCCTGACCTCTGCAAATGCGGCCGCCTCAAAGCCCACACACGACAAAGGTGCCCAAACTTGGCCCTGGCGAGCAAGGCATCAAAGCAGGGCTTGGCTTCCGGGGCCTGAGCCTGTCCTGCGAAGCCCTGAACAAGCATGTCTCTCAGCCAGAGGGAGAGGCGGCAGCCACCGCAGCCAGGAAGGGGGGCACGCAGGGCTGAAAGCATGGCTAAGCGCAGGCTGGAGGCGTGGAGCGGCTGTCTGAATGAAGCAATGACAGGAGGGCCCACCTTCGGCGGTCGGCGTGCTCTTAGCATCAGAGGTTTCAGAGCCCGGTTCCTCAGATCCATCATCAGCGGGGGTCTGCAGGGGAGATTCTGGAACATACACAATGAGCCCCTCAGAACGGCGGCCTCTCCCCACCCCTCCTTTCGGCTTCAGGAGGAAATGGGGAGCAGTGTCTTTCAGACCTGAAAATCCCCCAGCTGTGGAACCCAGATGGATGGGACGTGGCCACATGATAAATTCACCAAGGGGACCGATCCCACCCCCACCCCAACACAACTGCATCCCCACATCAGGGTCATCAGGCAAAGATGCTCATTCCCGGGCGAGAAGAGAAACTGCCTTTTAATCAGCTAGTGGTTTCAAAGGAGGCAAGGGATCTTATATTGACAAAAGGGAGGCCGATACTACAAAGCCAAGCCATAAATAAGCCTGCTGCTGTGTCCTTCCTGACGGAGAGGTTCACAGGAGATCACTACCACTCGTCGATGACAAGTAGACGCCTGGAAAAACACTCAGATCCAACTCCTTCCTCTGAAAAGGAATGAGCTGAGGGCAGACACCGTGCCTTGTAACTGGACTTCTGGCTGTGTGTCTGGATTTGACTCAGCCCCTTTCATAGAAAGATCTCCAAGTACTGACCGACAGAACTGGAGTCACACCTGAAATGTCAGCCATGGTTACCTACAAGACAACTGTCCTTTCAGAATCTGGAGCCAAGGAGGCTCTGGTGGGCTCCAGGAAAGCCACTCCACCTGGGGTGGGGGCAGCCTTGGAGACATTTTCAAGGCAGGGTCTGGGGGTGGGGGTGGGTTTGTGCATGAAGAAGAACCCCAAAATGAGAAAAGGCAAGTGGTGTTCAACTGCACTGGGAGATCAGACACCATTGCTAAAATGCCGGCACTGGGTACCCAGCCCTGGGGGCGACCATCTGGCCAAAAGAAGGGCTTATTCTAAACCAACTTCCAGCACCCACACAGCAGCCTGAGCCCGGGGCTTGCAAAAACCTGCCAACTGCCTTAAGAAGGCTTTGGACACATGGTGAGGAAGCATCTGCAGACTGTCTGCTGGGTCTTGTCATTACTAATCAGCCTTGACTGTCCGAGTACAGAAGCATAAGGCACGAGAGTGCCCCAAGCACGCATGTCCCGGAATAGCCCCTCCCCTGCTCGGTCCCGAGCCTGCCATCCTCACCACTTCCATTAACCTTGTTAAATTTCTTGGAGGGAGGGAAAGAAGGAGGAAGAAGCCTCTTCTGAATGTCTTATCTGGAAGGTCTAAGAAGTTATGCAACTAACCCCTTTTAATTCCTTAGGGTGCGTTATTCTATCAGTTAACCCCCTGTCCCCTCTCCCACCTGGCAGCTCTTGGCTGTATCGGATCCTTGTCCAACTGGGAGCCTCCATGTAAATACTCTTCGTTCTAGTATTTTATACGTGGTTTCTTGTCATTATTCAAGATAGTCAGTCACTTATCTAAAACGTTGCTAGTAAAGTGACACCTTCTTGCCAAGTCATACTGCTCACTCCCCGTATAAAAATAACTCATTTTAAATCCTTAAGAAGCAAGAATAAATTTGATGAGAACTATGGAATCTCTTTATCACTTGCTTTCTTGGGAAGTATATTCTTTGGGTAAGCAAACTATATACAAATGTTTTCCTTTCATAGCAGTGACAAAAAGTTAGCAACTTAAATTTTGCATATATATATATATATATATATATGTAACTCTACATGTCTTCTGGGTTCAGAAAGATATGATACATTAAAAGAGAGTACTATATATATATATATATATATGTTTTAGCATAAATCTCCTGATCATGTTTTATGTTAAAGAACTGAGTGGTTTTAGGAAGCATACGTGAGACACTTGTGAGACACAAAAGAACTTGGTAAACTTGTTCTAACCTTACAAATTGAATTTCATTTCTCCTCCAAAAAGTAGGAATGGTAAAAACCACCTTTTCTCCTAGACTTTTTTTTAATGAAATTTTTATTTGAGAGCAGTTTTAGATTTACAGAAAAATTGCAAAGATACTCTAGAGAATATACCCCACATCCAGCTTTCCCAATTATTAACATCCTACATTGTTACAGTACATTCTTTGCAACATTGTATATATTTTAAATTTAATATTTAAGCCAGCCTGCTCTAAATAGAGCGTCACTGGCAAAATGTACACGGGGCAGAATTCAGCACGTGGTGATTCTAAGTTGGATTCCACCCATGAGGGGTTCCCAGGGCACCTGGTTGAGGGACAAGGGACAAAACGGATGGCAAGGAGCTGAGCAGCCCTTCTGATACGGCAGCACCACCTAGCAGCCCTTGACTCAGAGAGGGAATTCCCCTTGTCATCTGTCAACCAGGGAAAGTGACACCTGCCCTTAGCACTTACTGTGAGCACTGCCTGAGACATTGACGGCGAAGGCCTTTGTGATCCTAGAGTTCTACAAAAATGCCTGAATTACCATTTTAAGGAAGTTCCCTCATAAGCAGGGTGGCCACAGACTTCATCACCCAAATCAGGACACCTGAGTGTGGAAGCAGCGATGGCCATCATGACATAGAACTGACTTGCGCGGGGATGTGTGGACTCAGGTCCTCAGAGGAAGGAGCTCTTAGGGCCCCAGTCAGGGGGTCAGGGAGTCAGGGAACGAGGCAAACTCTGGCCCCCACCCCAAGCTGCCTCAGCCAGTGAGGGCTGTGGGGAGAAAGCCGGGGTGCCACCAACCTTTGGAATCAAGTCCTGGGGGCCACCACCCCCCTCATTCTACATGCCTGGGGTCAGGGTGGAGAGAGAAAAGGGGAAGGGGCTGTAGAGGGAGGGGGTGGGGGGGAGACAGCAGGAGAAAGAAGAACAAGGTGGGAAGAGAAAGAGGGAAGGAGGAAACAGAGAACGGAGAACGTGGGAGAGGAGGAGACAGTGTGGGACAAAGGGAGAAAGGGAGCGAGCAGGACTGAAGAGAGAAAGCAGATTTCTGCACTGCCCTCCCTGGGAGCCACACCTTAGCAGCTCTGGCTGGAGCCGGGCTATGGTCAGAGAGAGGGCAGAACGCACATTGTTTTGCCCCCCATTTGGAGCCGGACATTAGGAGGGCAGGTCTGGCCCCCTGGGACACTTGGCTGGCATGGGTATTTCCCCCATCCCCCTCCCCCAGCACCTGGGGCTGGGAGGCCCGAGAAGGCCACAGGGCAGCCCCTGAGCTCCCCAGGATAGCGTACCCACTCTTCCTTCGCCTCCTCCAGCCAGGAGCCCACTTGTCTGAGCCCCGGGTTCCTCGGACTCCTACATTCTCTGCTTAAACAGAGAGACAGAAGTCACCTTTGGAACCAGGCCCCCGAGAAGTCCTGCAAGTAGGGATTATTGCTCCTCACGCTTCCCCAACCCAGGGGACCTGCTGGTGACCCCACCTCCTGCGGGGAACCCTCCCGGACAGATGAACCCAGAAGAGGACCCCTTCCACCTCGGAGCTCTGCCACTTCCGGCCACTCCTCCGTACCTCAGGCTGCAAAGTGTTTTTATTAACTTTTAGCATTAACAGAGAACAAACAGCAGTCTGTTTGCTATTTTGTCTCCTTAGAAATGGGTCTGGAGGGCAGGGACAGAATCCTTACACTAGGGCCGCTTGGAGCTGCAGGCAAGGGTGCAGAGGATGGCATCCAGAAGCAGGAGAGAGGGCATAGTGGTCTCCAGGGGCCTCCCCAGACTCGTGGTCAGTGAAATGAAACACATGTGTTTGGTAGGGGAGAGGAGGGGGCCAAGACAATTTGGCCCAAAGACTGTATTATAGACTATTTAGAGGTTTCGAGGATGCAGTTTGTTAGTGGAGGTACAGCAGGAGTCCCAGAGCTGACCGTCTCTTGCTGAAACAGGGCCCAGACAGGCTCGTAAGGAGGACACACAAATAACGTCCAAAGCCGAGGATTCTGAATGCTAATGCATGCGGCTGGTTTAAAGATTAATCGATGTGGCTAAAGACTGAAGTGAGCACCCGGTATTCATCAGACTGACAAACCCCCTGCAATCTTTGTCACGCTGCCATCCACACATGTGTCAAACTCTCCTTTGGAGAGGTATTCTCAAAGAGCCTCACATTTTGAGTTCTCCTGGCCCTTTCAAATTAAGAGGCTTCACTCTGTTGACAATCCAACAGAAGTATTTAAAATTCCTTTTAAAATCTCCATGCGCACCCCTCCGGCCAGCCCTTCCCAGAGCAAGCGCCTGAGCCTGCTGTGGGTGTGTGGCCATGCACTCACCTTTCAGGCCATGGTCCACGTCCCCTTCATGGTCTTGCAGTAGGGTGTAGCCCCCCTGAGAGGGGAGATCTTTCCTCTCCCCCATCCCGTACGCCCCAGCATGATCTTCCGTCACGGTGAACTCCTGGCGGGGCTCAGCCATCCTGGGTCAAGGCCCACCTGGGGAAGGGAGATGGGGAGGATGAGCGGGACATGCTGAGCGGAGGGACCTGCACGCTTGGGGGGTGGGGTCGGGGCAGGGAGAGAAGTGCCACCTCCCCAGGGGGTCGTAGAAGACAACTCTCCGCCTCCCCATCCCCTCCCCATGGGATGCCCAACCTCATCCCATGTGCCCTGTTTACCTGTATGGGCACTTTTTTTTTTTAAAGATTTTATTCACTTGACAGAGAGAGACACAGAGAGAGAGGGAACACAGGCAGGGGGAGTGGGAGAGGGAGAAGCAGGCTTCCCAGGCTTCCTGCCAAGCAGGGAGCCCGATGCGGGGCTCGATCCCAGGGTCCTGGGATCATGACCTGAGCCGAAGGCAGATGCTTAATGACTTGAGCCACCCAAGCGCCCCTGTATGGGCACTTTTAATTCACCTGTATCACATCCAGTCCTACTCAAAACCACCAGGTGGGCAGGTCCAGCGGGCCTGACTTGTTAAGCCCAGCACTCTTTCCACTTCATTAAAATATAAATGCTGCTGACTAGTAGCTTGATTTTTTAAAACATTTTTAATGGAAAGGGTAAGACCAAACAGGAGAGGGAAGACATCAGCAGGCAAGGAAAACGAAGCACAGAGAAGTAACCATGATCTTTCCATCACAAGACAACAGCGAAGCAAAACTGACTCTTGACCCAAATGTCCTGAATCCCCCTAGGTCTGAGTGGAATGGCCCCTACTGGAGGTCAGGGCTGGGCCTCCACGCACCTCAGGGGCCCCCACCAGGCCCCTCAGGTATGCATTCCAAGGTTGGGGCTCAGAAATCCCGAACAGCTGAAGAGTAACATGCATACCTCCCCCTGGAGCCCCAGCCGGACCCGCTGCTCCAGCTCCATAGAACCCACCAGAAATGGTCATTTGCTCATACTCTGTCCTCATCTTTATTGAGAATATTTAGTTCATGATTTTAAAAGTAACTCCTAACTTTGAATTTCTGCACGTCTGAGAATGCCATTTTGCTCTGGTCCATTCATGCCACTTTGGGTTATTCTATTATTTTCATTTTTTATCTCTGCAATTTGAGTCTTCTGTCTTTTACTTTGTTATCTTCCTTTTAAAGATTTTATTTTTAAGCAATCTCTACCCCCAACACGGGGCTCGAACTCACGACCCCAAGATCAAGAGTCACATTCTCTACTGACTGAGCCAGCCAGGCGCCCCAACACCTTCCTTTTAAATTACTCATCTCATATTATTTATTTTCTACTTTATATTTATTTTTACTCTTATCTCTGAAACTCTCCTGTTTTGTTTGTTTCTACTTCCTCTCTTTATCCTTCTGTAATTTTGGGTCTTGATTTTTATTTCTAACCCTTTAAAAATCTCAGCTCTGTCTTGATTTATTTTACATGTATTCACTTGATTTACTACATAGTTATATAAGTATACATAATAAATACACACATGTAAATGTAAGTATATGTAAGTATATATAATAAACACATGTGTTCACTTATTTTACATGTATTTATTTATATCTTTATAGTGTTTTGTTACTTTTACTTTTACTTTTTGCCCCAGATTCATGTCAGCTTTTCATTTAATTAATATTTTAACCTGAGATAATTTTAGACTTACAGACTTACAGATAATTTTAGACTTAGTAAAAGTAGCCCAGAGGATCATTTTATTATTTCTAACCTTTTGAAATCCCTTTCAAATATATTTGCCCATGTTATCCTTCTATCTTTCTGACTTTTTACATTGAGCTTGTTTTCTTTTAATCTTTCCTTCTTATAATTGCAACTTTTATAATTTTTCATAATTTTAATCTAAATTTAGTCTTTATTTTCATTTTTAAAATGTGTGTTGCCGGGTGCCTGGGTGGCTCAGTTGGTTAAGCAACTGCCTTTGGCTCAGGTCATGATCCTGGAGTCCCGGGATCGAGTCCCACATCGGGCTCCCTGCTCAGCAGGGAGTCTGCTTCTCCCTCTGACCCTCTTCCCTCTCGTGCTCTCCATCTCTCATTCTCTCTCTCAAATAAATAAATAAAATCTTTAAAAATAAATAAATAAATAAAATGTGTGCTGCCATTTCCCCTTCTTTAATTGCCTTCATTTATGTTCTTTTACTCTAATTGTTTGCCTTCTTTGCTTTAAATCTCTACTTTTCCTTTATAATTCATTAATAGTTAGCCTCTTAGGTTTCTGTTTCTATTGCATGGAGTGTTTTCAGCTGCACCCAGGAGTGGCGGCGAGGGTGGGTTGCCAAGGGGAAAGCTGATAATACAAACTGGAGAGGACAGAGGCCTTTCTCCTTCCCCCTTCCACTGCATCTAGTGCTCTCGTTTCCATGATCAATTAATGATGTCTCCCAAGGGCAAGGCGTGGAGGGCACCCCTGATGTCATGCATTCTCTAAATGCATTACAAGTTACAGAATGCTCTAAAATCCACATCTCACCTCTGACAGATGCTGGGCAAGTCCCATAAAGGGTGGGCTACAAGGCGGGAGGGCCCACCTGGGGCAGACCCTTCCGTGATGCTTTCCTGACTGACACTGGTGGTGGGACAGACAGGCTTCTGGCACCATGTCTAAACCAAGTGACCACTGGCAGAATCATGTCCAGCTTCGTTCCTCTCCCTTCTAGGGCAGGACATGTTGGGGTGGGTGTCTGAGCTCTCTTCTCTGTCCACAAAGTAGGGTAAGAAGCAAGTGAGAGCCACATGGCCTAGGAGGGTTTTAAGAAGGAGCTCAGCGGGGGCGCCTGGCTGGCTCAGTCAGTGGAGCGTACAACTCTTGATCTCGGGGTTGTGAGTTTGAACCCCACGTTGGATGTAAACATTACTTAAAAATAAAATCTTAAAAAAAAAAAAAAAAGAATGAGCTCAGCAGGACCTCTGCTGTGTGGGTAGCCTGGCCCCACTTAGGTATTTACTGCCTATAGAGAAGGGCCCTCTTTTCATTCTGACTGAGGACCCTGTCCCTCAGGGAGCTCTTGGCAAAGGCATCCAAGATTGAGGTTCTTCAAATTTTTGACATCTCCCCAACGATGAGCAGGACTTTATTTTGGGCAGATCAGAGTCCCCATTCATCCTTCAAGGCTTAGGACTTGGTGGTGATATTCTCTACCCTTAGTTATGCTAATGGTCTGTTGCCCTTGGCAAATCTCAAAACGTCAGAACCCCTCTTCTAAGAGGGACCCGTTCCATTATCTGAGAAAACTATTGCTCCCCACCCAGTTCTAGGAAGTAGCATCTTCCTTGCTGGTGGAGCCTCTCAGGGCGTCCCTGGTCACCACCCAATGGCTCATCCCCAAGACTGGTCCATGAGGCACTTCATCTGGCTGAGTCACCAGATGCCCCACCCTGGAGCGGTGGGATCACCCCAGAAGCTCAAGGCCTCGCAGCTGGCTGGAGACACTACACCTGGCCCAGATGAGCCAGGCTAGCCAACTCAGGTTACCCTGTGCAAGCTGCAGCTCAAGATTCAGTGAATGCTAAGTTTAATGAGCTCTGTGGTTTTGTTCTTTAGATTTGATCAATTCCTTTCAATGAATGACCAAGTTTCCCCTCCTGGAACATGGTGGATGGAGGTGTACAAGTAAAAATCTCATTTACTGGTTTCCTCTTTTATAAAATGCCCGTTTATATCCTTTGCACCTCTGTTCAGATCTCAGTGCTCATTGTAATGACTTGAGTGAGCTCCTTATACATCAATATCAACCCTTTATCACATTTGTGGCAGATAGTTTCTCCAGTCAGTCACCTTTATTTTGGTTCCTGATGGCTTCTGACCATCAAGGCTTTTTTTTTTTTTTTTTAAGATTTATTTATTTATTTGAGGGGGAAGGGGCAAAGGGAGAGGGAGAGAATCCTCAAGCTGACTTCTCACTGAGTGTAGAGCCTGACTCGGGGCTCGATCCCAGGACCCCGAGATCATGACCTGAGTCAAAACCAAGAGTCAGCTGCTGAACAGACTGAGCCGCCCAAGTGCCCCTGGCCAGCAAGTTTTAATAGTTGTATAGTCACATCTATTTTCCTTTGCGATTTATTCTATTGCTACGGCACATAAAGATCATCGATATTTTCTTTTTTTAAAAGACTTTTACTTTTTTACTTTTTAAAGATTTTATTTACTCTTTTGCAAGAGAGAGAACACGTGAGGGGAAATGGCAGAGGGAGAAGGAGAAGCAGGCTCCCCGCTGAACAGGGAGCCTGATGTGGGGCTTGATCCCAGGACCCTGGGATCACGACCTGAGCCGAAGGCAGATGCTTAACCAACTGAGCCACCCAGGCGCCCCTCATCAATAGTTTCTGCTACGTTTTCAGTGATCTAATTCTTTACATTTGACTTATTAATTCATCTGGAATTTATTTAGGTGTATGACATGAGGTGAGAATCTAAACATTTCCTCCCAAATATGATAGTTAAACCAATGGCCCAGCCCTAGTCATAGAATCCGTCCTCTCGCCCAAGCAAATGAATCAGCTACTCTGCCCCATTTATCTGCCCATACTGGTGCTAAAGTTGCCCCCCACCCACACCCCCGAGTGAAACTTTGGATCTCAAGTCTTATTCTTTAGGTGGCCATGGACACTCTCATTTTCTTTTTCAAAACTATTTGACCTTCTGGGGCGCCTGGATGGCTCAGTCAGTTAAGCGTCCGCTTTTGGCTCAGGTCATGAGCCCAGGGTCCTGGGATGGAGTCCCTCATCGGGCTCCTTGTTTGGTGGGGAGCCTGCTTCTCCCTCTCCCTCTGCTGCTCCCCCTGCTTGTGTGCTCTCTCAGATAAATAAATAAAATCTTAAAAAAAAAAAAACTGTTTGACCTTCTTGCATGTTTTCTCTTGCAGATGTCCTTTAGAATATTTTTTCTCAAATTCTCAAAATTCCATTGGGATTTTGGCTGGAATTGTGTCATGTGCCAAGATGATAAAAACTGCTCTCTTCAGTGTTCCTATTGCAAGAGCACAGTGTGTCTTCCCATTCATTCTGG